ACAGTAAAAAGTCTATAACTTCATATGTTTTCGGACAAAGGCTGGAATGAAGGCTGCTTTTAACCTGCTAAAAATGAAATTATGTGAGTAAGTTCCATGTTTTTTTGTGGATGAGATAAAAAAATCTGTTTATCTATCTATCTAGTGGACAACAATGCATTTTGTGCCAAAATATAAATTCTGTGGAGGAATTTTATAATATAAACATTTACACTACCTCATCCCTGTGTAGGACTGGCAAATTGACCAATTGGCAAATGCTGGTTGGCAAAAATATCTTATTTTGTAAAAGAAATCAGAGAATAAATGCAACAGGAATCACTTATAAAGGCACAAAAAGACCACCACAGATTTTTTGGATGTTAATGGTCTGTATTAAAAGGGATTCGTCATAAGATGGACTGATTTTATATAAAACTCTTTTGCAGAAAATGTGACAATTAACTATTTATGTGACATGCCAGTGCCTGAGCCTTTAAAATAATAAATCAAATCTAATCACATCCCATAATGTACCGTCATGGCTTTATTATATGGCATGTTTCTATTCAGTTTGTGCTAATAATTTTGTGTAACATGTGCATGTGCAAGGAGAAAACTAGAAAATTATAGCCTACTGTACAGACATGTACAGTTGCTGACATGTACAGACATGTACAACTACAGTAGAAAAATGCAGGGTCAGTGGAGTGCAATGCTGCGTTGCACAATCAAATACGTGCAACTGCACATTCCTTTCTAATGTTAATATCTAATGTCTAATGGAGTATTTACATTGCTTCACTTGCTTATCTAAGAAATTAATAAATATTTGAATAATCTGTGATAAGAGTTCAATGGTTTTATAATACTTTCCCTGAGTATTATAAACTGGCATGCTGTGTTTTGCCTACAAACTCATGGATTTGTCACTCAAACTGGACTTCTTGGATTGCATTTCATTGTCTTGGCGGTAGCTTAGAAAATACGCCCCCACCAACGCTTTTGTCTTGTTTTAAAGCAGACTAATGATGTCGTCCTGCTGATAAGTCAGATCAGAAAACACTTTTATCTGTCGTTCCAGAGGGAATGGACAAGCAATGTATTTTATTGTTTAATTCCAGGTACTTGTATATATATACTCTTTATATGCTTGTCAAGCTTCTTTAAATAAATTCAACAGCATATGCTGGATTATGTGGTACTGAGAGCTGCAAAGGACGCATCTGTTCATCTCCCAAATTTGGACAAAAAGGTATAAGTAAACCCATATCTCATTTGGAGGAACCTTTGAAAAGGGAAAGATGTTGACCAGTTTTGATATACTGACATATCTTCAGTCTATACAACTACTGTGCATTAGTTGATCGTTCACAGAATGACTGCCAGAAGTTATACAACTTTACACACACACACACACACACACAAGAAAGAGGAGGAATCATAGATGGAAAAGTAGAGAAAATAGGACAAAGTAGTTTATGTCATGGAAAATATATGTGAAGATACTGAGTTAACAGTAACAGCATGTTCATTTCATACAGGCATCAATTTTCGTTCAACAACCACACTAGTCCAATACAGTCAAATATGATTGGTTGCGATAATTTATTGTCATCATGTTAAACTATCTTATAATGCAGATGTTTAATTTGCCCACTCAGTAAATAACCTGCTCCTGTGAATAAGCTGATTTATGAGCCATGTTCCGCATTTAATAGTAAGAAATTAAGCAGAGTAATTAAAGTTGGATTAGCACACAGGTCACTGTGAGTCTTAACTTTAAATCTCTCACGGATTCTGACTGAACCATTCATTTACTGTCTGATGTGCTGTATCTGTCAAAGAAATTTATCAGAGTTCATAGAAATGCACCCTGTGCCTCGAGTGTACTCCCTGTAGTTTGAGTGATGTCGTATAAGTGATTGAACTGACTGTCTTGTCCTCTCATTCGTTTAAGCTCTAATCTCCCTTTACGCCGCAATCAATCTCTTCTCTCTTTCCTTATGACTCCCCAGCACTCATCCCGGCCCTCCCTCCATCCCTTCAGATTCTCATCATTCACTCCATCTGTTGCTCAGGGTATGGATGACTCATCTGAACAATGAGAACAAGAGGGTGAAAAAAGAACAGAACACAAGAAACACAGCAGGAACGCGATCCCTTTCTTCTCAGTGGAACCTTCATCAATGTGATTGTAAACAAATGGCCAACAGTGAAACCCATTCGCTAAGTCATGAAAGTCATGCTTTCTGTTCTCACACAGTTTACAATGATAATGATGTCAGATATACCACTCAAATTTCTCAACAATGGATTCTTGATTTATGAAAGCAGGGTTCTCATGTCTAGCTGACGACTGTTGATTTTTGCTGAGAGAATTTATCAGCTAGATAATTAAGGTAAAGCCAGCTGCATAAGCTGGTTGAAAACATTCTTCTCAGACTTTTTATTTAAAGGTCCAGTGTGTAACATTTATGGATCTATTGGCAGAAATGGAATATAATACTCATAGGTATGTTTTTATTATGTGTATAATCACCTGACAACAAGAATCAATATCTTTTTGTTACCTTAGAAAGAGCCGTTTTAATTTACAGGTCGCCTTCCATGGAGTCCGCCATGCTGAGCCTCCATGTTTTCGGAATTTTGTGAAGAGAAAAGGCTTTTAGCACCCAGTGAGGAAATACTACACAGTAAGTGGGCGAGTCATGAACAGGGTTGTTTTTTAATGTAACCTGTGGGCTAACCCTACATCCTAATGTAGTTACCTAATGATATGTTGTTGGGCTCAGAAATAGCACTCAGTTACTGCAAGCCAGTTATGTTGATATGCTAATGATTACAGCTTTTGTCAGAAGAGATAAACATGAATTCATTTCTTACACTTTTGCTTTTGTGTTATTGGAAAGGCTAAAAAAAGTCACCATGCTCAGGCTCGGACTGGCAATCTGGCAATTCTGGATATTGCCAGACGGGCTGGACCACCTAGTGGGCTGCAAGGCCACCACCCGGGTTACACAGTCCCAAAAATGTCAACAGGCTGCCTATACTGTAAGGCTGATGCAGGAAGTGGTACAGACTGTCCTCACCTCCCACTCCCCCTTCAAGTGGATCTGTTCATCCATGTTATGTCAGGGGTTAAAGAGGAAATAACCAAAGGAAATCAATACAAAGAGTGGAGCACGAATCAAAAACAAAAATGAAAATTAATAAAGGACTGAAAAAGTAAAATGTGTTAATATCTGTTTTAACCATAAATATAGCAACTATAACTTGTTCTGTAAATTGTTCTTCTACTATAATTCTAGAACTAGAACTTCAGTCTCAATTTAAAAACCCACAACACTCCTTCCCTTCAGGCTGTTGTGCAAGCAAAGCTGAACAAGGTGATTCTATCTGAATACATTAATTTGTACATTTAACACACCTATGTGTTTGTTCTCCTGTACACACAAGCACCAGGTGGTCAGCATTAAAGAACTTATTATGCATTCTAATGCTGATTCACATAAGATGCTGCAAACACAGTACAGAAAGTCATCGGTGCCCAAGCTGGTGATCTTCCAATTATAATTATTGACATTTCATCAAAACTCATAGTTTCTGAAGCTAAACATTTCAAACTCAGATCTGTTTCACATTCTGTCAGATTTGCATTTTTGAGTGCACTAAAATGTTCCCATAAAATATGCTTTCATGTCCTATAGGAGGTCATAGGTGAGAGCGTGAAATCAGTCTGAGAGGCAGAGACTCTGATGATCTACTCAGAGAGTGACTTTTCTTTCTGCATGTATCACTGTGACCACTCTGTTTTCTGACATTTTTGCTACTTCTCTTTCTGACACACTGTCTTTCACTGTTTTATTCAGCTTGTGTCTACATGTTTATGGTCTAGTCAGTGGTCTGTCTCTATCAGGTGATTGTACTTTGTCAGTCCATGAGAAATCTAATTGTGTCTTCATCTTGTTGCTCTTAAAGTAATCTTGACTGGAAATGAAAACAAGAAATCCTTCATTTGTGTCCCTCTAGATCACACTAGGGTCAAATTAACAATTGTCAGAACATAATGGTTAATTTCCCTGCACTCCTCATTGCTGCTTGCTTGTAATATCTGTATAATACTGTGCTATAAATAATTCTGGATTAACCGGTTAAGAGCATAAATATTCTTATTTATAAAAAGCTTACAAAATTAAAGAAAACTATGCTATTTCATTAAATTTCGTATTAATTTAATCGTAGATTCTCATATTCTGCGATACCATACGCTAATTTCATGCAAAGATGCAGAAAAGGTTAAATAAGATGAAGTCCTTAAATTTCTCCCCTGGTTTGTATTTATCTTTTATATTTTAACCCAAAAATGTAAGGGAGACCTGTGGAGTTTTCTCGTAAAGAAATGCAGAAGGAAATTGTGTGTAGGTGTGTATTCTTACATAACAAACATGTTTATTGCATTTCTTTCCTCGTAAAAAATTTGCAAAGCTTCTGTGTTTAATATTATGAAACCTGCAGTGTTAACATCCACATCGACTAGGTTGGAGTTTTGCAGGACTTTGTATAGTGTCACCTGCATGCTTGCATGCCTGCGTGCATCTGCGTGTGTGCCTACGAGATGCAAATAAAACAGGGACCCACTCATCAAAACATTGCACCATATCACTTGTAGTGGACGCAAACTACAAGGTACCTTTACATAAAGCTTACATAAAGAGTCCTTTTCACAGGCAAAACACAGGTTCGCAATCTTTATCTGCTCATTGCTATTTAAACTCACAGTAGCAGTGAGTCGCTCTCTTTTTCTCTTCCTTGACTCAGGCTGTTCGTTTATTCATTAATTAATTGAAGAGCAGTTTGTCTAGCTGGGTTTGTTAGATATATATATTTTTCAGACAGCATCCAGAAGGAAAATGTCATTTCCAAAATAGTGTAAGTGTGTCAGTCAGACATCTCATTTTTAGAAGTGCACTCAGACAGAGACACTGGGGGTAGATGTAATGCCCATGGCAGTATCCTACCTGTCCGAAGACTGAGTCGACAATGGGTCGCAGCTTTCTCCTGCATCCCTCCTGCAGCCAGAGGTCTTCGGGGTCTCCCACAGGGGAAGACAGACTCAAGGTCTTGGCCTTAGGCTTTGGAGGCCTCTTTATACTAGCTGAACTCCATCGCCTCAGGGACTCAATCTTCTTCTTGATGGATCCCTGGAGGACCAACAAAGAGGTTGAAGTAGGTATTTTGGTCCAAATACAACATACAGAAAACTGAATGAACAGCCACAGAAAGAGGACCGAATGAGAGATGCAGCAGATTATGAATGAATAAATGAATGAACTATATTTAACACATGCTTCAAGATTAAACACACCCAAATTCCTAGAAAGAAAGGAATCAGGAAAAAGGTTGACATACACCTACTTTAGGTGTTATTGCATTCACACAGATAACATTTAGAATAACCTTTTTAATGTTCCTACTCAGAAAAACGATGGAACTGATAGAAATTCTCAGTTTTACTTTCTTACACACAGTATTGCTCTAAAAAGGTATTATGTTTGAATAAATAAAAAATAACAAATATTTCAGTTTGAAAGTTGTAAACAATTCAACAGTGAGTCCATGCCAGCCAGGCCTCTGGGTCACCACAGTATATCACGCTGGGCTTGTCAGGATTTAGGACCATGCAAACTCATATTTTGGCATGTACATCCACTGACCTTCTTCATTAACTTCCCCTCTGGCACTTCCACGGATGATACGCTTTTCGTGTCGGTCATCTTTGCAGCCCAGCTTGCATGCACAGAGACGTCCTCGTTCTCTCTGTCTCTCCTCCTGTCACGCTCTTGTCCACTCCTCCTCTTTATCTGTCTCTAGAGCATCTGACACTGGTTGATAATCTGAGGCACATCTCCTATGTTGTTGCTCCTCCTTCTCTCATCCCTCTCTCTCCCTCTTTCATCCCTCCGCCTGTATCTACATCCATCACTCACTTTTTCATCTGCCTGCTTCTATCCACCTCTACCCTGGGTGACTTGGCCTCTATCAAAAAAGAAAACCTTTTTTATTGATTGAAAAAATAAAAAATAAAAAATCTTTTGACAGTTGAACACACATCTTGTCTTATTTGAGTTGGGTATAATTTTCTGTCCATGTATGTGACATCTCCAATAATCCGTTATTTATTTCCTCATGTCTCTCTGATCTCCTCTGTTGCTGCGGTGCTGATGTAGGCTTGTCCTCAATCCTCTGCACTTTACAGTGCTTCCCATTGTTATATTTACCATATGGGCCTGTGCAGTGCATGTGTAAGCACACACAATACACTTCCTACACATACCATACCATACCACACATATCATGGCCAATGGTATTTCATACCATGGACGTCATTCTGAAAGGTTTCTGATTTAGTGTAAAATTGCATTACTCTGACTAAAATAGGTGGGGCAGGAACAGTTACAGCTAAATGGAAGTGAAAGGCTCAGTGAGTAGGATTTAGTGGCATCTATTCCTGTTTGAAACTCCCTCGTCTCACCCTTCCCTTCCAAGCATGAAGGAGAAATGTGGTGGCTGCGAAATACGTGAAAAAACTCAACACTCCTATCTAGAGCCAGTGTTTGGTTTGTCCTTTCTGGGCTACTGTAGAAACATGGTGGTTTAACATTGGGGACTCCATGGAAGGCGACACGTGTAGATATAAAAGGCTCATTCTAAGATAACAAAAACATAACTCTTTCTTTATTCAGGTGATTATAACAAAAAAAAAATAGTTAAGCATTTTGTATTCAGTTTCAGCCAACGGATCCTCCTGAACAGACCTATGATAAAAATAGGATTGTGTCAATTTTTGGAAATGTCTGGCAAAGGATCCCCACAAGAGGACCCAAAAATCAGAATCATGTTTATTATCAAGAAGTACCCAATACTTGCCAGCGAATGATGACCACTGTACTAAATTCAATGGATTTGGTTAGCCAGTTGGTGAGGAGTTTCACCTTCAGTTTCTGTTATTTAACATCCAAGAAAGGAAAGGTGTAAATCTGTATGTGTATGTGTCTATGTAAATCTCACTTTCTTCTGGATAACATAGCTTGGCTATATTCTCTACTGTATGCTGAGGCTTCTCTCTGTAATGGACAGACTGTAGTTATATTTGAGGGCATGATTGTCGGTGGCACTGCTGGTTATATGTTTAATGTGTGAGTTCTTGAGAGACGGTGCATTTCAGAGAGAGCTTAGAGTCATATTAGTTTTGCACTCGGGCCAGGGACAGGCTCGGGTTGAAAGATTGCAGTTTGTCTAGTTGGGGCTGGGTTAGGGTTGGGGGTTTTGGCAAGTGGAGCTGTCCTTAGGCAATGAGCTCTAAGTTGTTGTGTCCACAGCAGGTCACCAGATGGTCAGTCTCCCACATGTATTTGGACTTATCCCCAGCAGAGATGAGAGTGGTGGCAGACGCAAACTTCAGGAGCTTAATGGACTGATGACTAGAGGTGTAACTGTTTATGTACAGTGGGAAGTGCTAAGTAGGTATTAAGAATAATGATAAATAAGGGGCACCCAGATAGCTCACCTGGTAGAGCCCAGCCCTGCTACAGTGGCCAAGGGTGCAAATCTGAACTGTCCCCTCTCTCTATCCCCCTTTACTGTCACTCTTCAGCTGTTTCTGGCAATTAAAGCCCAAATTAATTAATTCAATTATATATATATATATCCATGAGATCCCACTTTGACACTTCATGACATGAAACAATACATTCAGCTGCAATTAAATATATAAATTTTTCATGAACAACAGCATTTTAAATTCTGCATTCTCTCTACATACTCATAACGCACCAGAAAACAAAATTGGATGAGTGAAAATGAGCGAAAAACATAGTAACTCTAGAAAGTCAAAAAAGTGTTATTGATAAATGATTTACTGAGGAACTCCCTCCTCAGGGAATCCCTCTACACAGTTGGCACACAATAATGGTGAGCAACAGCAACAACAAAAAAATATATATATATATTTTCAAGTAATATTTAAAAGAAAACCAAATGAACACTACCAATATTAATGTCACTGAGTACACAGATAAAGACAACAGCCTTGCTGAAGCCGAACAGCTAGCTACTAAGCTCACATTAGCACCAACACCACAGCAGTCAGTAACTCCTAAAGGAAGCTTTCAGAATCAACAAGCCACTATATTTGCCTGTGTTGGATTTACCAGGGACACCGGTAGTTCAACTGAACATTACGTTTGTGCAGAATTGGAATCTAATATTCATAGCTGTGTTTTTATTAATTTATAATATTTATAATTACAATTGTTGTGATTTCATTACCTTTGAATTAGCCATTTTAATCTTCAGAGAGAGTGGGTCTGCCATGTTGAACTGCTATGTTTCTCTATTAGAAACCAAACACTGGCTATAGATATGGCGTTTTGCAACTTGTTTGGACACATCTGAACAATTCTCATGATGTTTGCAGTTTTTGGATTCAAATTTGACAACACAGAACATGTCTCTTGGATTAATTGGCATAAACATTGGTTTCATAAACCAAAGGCATTTTTTCCTGTTAAAACTTGCGTCTCGAATGTCTGCAAGGGTGTTGTTTTGAAACATGTCTGGACATGGAGCAAGACAGGACAAGGGTCAGGATGGTGGGCAATATTTATGGAATGTGCAAGAAAGACACAACAGAGGATGTATTTTGATTTGAGGCTCTTTATAGGCCTTCCAAGGCAGTGAGGTCTGCAAAGTGAACCGTAGCTCTGGAGTCCATTCAAGTCCTTTGGCAGCATACGTAGACACTAAAGAACGATTTGGTAAGGCAGGTTGTGGAAGAGGTTAACACATCTGGCTGTAATGCACGTGCACAGCGATGGACAGATTCAATTTAACATCCATTATTAGGAGCTTCATTAGCAACACACCTGAGCACAAGGACAAGTTTGGTGCCCTGCAAATTCAGGTAAGCTGTGGCTGTGTGTGTGTGTGTGTGTGTGTGTGTGTGTATGTGTGTGCGCACAACTATTCTACCAATATGTAGAAAGTTGTACAAAGTGCTGATATCCTTAGTAAAGTAAATCCTTAGTGTTACAGTTTCTGTTAAAGTAAACGAGTTAAGCCCCGGACACACTGCCTGTGTGAGCTGTGCAGCTGCAGCAACGCTTCACTAGAGAGTCAAGGGGTCGTCTGTTTTTTTCAGTTCACAGCATAAGTAGATAGTGAGAACAAATGTTCATAGCAATTGACATACCAGCAACTTATATTCACCTTTCACTACAGTTTCAATGTCTATATTTGTAGGACATAAAAACTATATATATATATTAAGTCAACACCTCTCTGGCTTTTCTGTGGACTGTGGTGGGAATAATGTTATTGCTTACGGAGAAATGAACAAATAAATGATGACACAACAAACAGTTGTTCTTAGTCTAAATGAGACAGGATGATAACAGAGTGAAACAGCTGAAAGGATTGAGCTCATACACTGGAGTGCATATTTTTTTATTATGTATATTTGTACTAAAAAGACATAGAGACGCTAACATGATTTGCTAACATGTACTCCCTACACATAGTAGTGTATGTTAGCAAATCATCTCAGCCTTGAGCTCAGGAAAGGAGAAAGGAGTATCACAGTGAAAAGTTATCTTATCACCTCTGGGCAGCACACGAATGTATTATACAAAAAGGCGTCAGTGTTAATGTGTCATACAAATGGTCATCAGTGTTATTCAGGTCACAAGTGTACTCAGAAGAAAAATACATTGGCTCGTAAAAAACCTAATACTGTGTGACTGTTTCGATTCGGGTTAAATTTACTAACCAAGTTCACTCCCACTTCCTTTAAAACAGCCTTAAGTAACAGCGGTAAACAAAATCACATGCTTCATGTGGTGTAACAAAGCAGTACAGTATTCCTGCATGCAGCTGCTCACAAAGAGAGTCTTCCCCTCAAATATTTTGACATATTTTGGAACTGACCTCGCCCACCTTTATCTGACAGCAAGGAACGCACTTTGTACTGGAATTTCTTCACAGACTTGAAGAATTTTTTTAGCCCAGGGGTAAGTATAATATGACAACAAGATGCTTTTATATCAGTCCCTGCAAGTGTCATTTTATACTAAAAAGTTTACCTCCATTTAACAGTCAAAAATCAAAGAGTCAAAAATGTAAAAAGGAAACTCATCATTCATAAAACCACATTAATTATAAATAACTTTCTACTGATAAAATGTAAAGTATGAACCTATCAGTTAAAGATTCACATTCTGGGGTCTATTAAACTGCAAGGAACAGATATAAACCAAGTTAACACTATTCATAATAGAGAACAAACAGTATGTGGGCGTCTCTTCCTCTATTTTTAGAAATGCTGCTGATGTTTGATCTCTTTGATTTAATATGCATTGACAACTTTTTTTATGCGTATGAGTTTTTATTTTAAATTTTTATAAATGCCAATTCATCATTTTTTCTGGATGCAGGGTACACTTCAGTACAAATCAGAAAATAACTGACATGCAATGCGTTTTAAGCATCTGTCAACTATAAGTACTGTAGCAGTGCATTAAACCTTTTAAAAGCAATACTTACCACCAGTCCCTCCAAATGCTCTCTCTTTCATTCTTTCCTTATCTCTCATCCGTACCAACTGTTTTTCACTGCGCTTTATGTAATCTCTCTGGCTTTATCGTTTTCAACATCTTATGTTGTCAATGTTCACACTGTTCTGCTGTTTCATTACCTTTATCCTGCTTTTTTTTCTCTTTTCTGTAGTTGAACGTCAGTACCACTCATCTTTACTACATCTATATCATTCCATTCATGTCTCTTCACAAAGATTCTATGAATTACACCAAGAAATATTATTCTATTCAGACTGACTATTCAGTTGACTTTGTTGGCCTTAAACTAACCCCCTGTATTTACTAGCCCCTCCATCCACTCCAAATCCGTCATTTATGGATTGTACACAAATTCAAAGAATTTAATATTTTATTTTGATCTTCCCAACATGGAAAGAAGCTGTGATATGTACCCAAATTTAAACCATAATATTTTAATGGATCAATCATTTTCACATAGCCACCAAACTGTACATTAGACATAATGTAACCAAATATACAGCAGACATAACAAAATTTTAAAAATTACAGTTACTTTATTCAAGAGCTGCCAATTTAAGTGCTGCTAAATGAAAGGTTATAACTTCCACTTTAATTATATATGAGCTAACTTTAAATGACACGTTTAACTTTTTGTCCTTGTAACTTTGAGTTCACTGAAGATGTTTTTGTTTACCTGCACAGAACAGTTATTACTGCACAGCCAAAAAGACATAGAAAAATACAGTAGATGAATACAGAGGGGGACAAAATGAGAGAGTCCCAAAGGGAGGGATGGGGGGGGAGGGAGAGAGAGAGAGAGAGAGAGAGAGAGAGAGAGAGAGAGAGAGAGAGAGAGAGATAATCTGCTGAATCTACTGAATGACTGAGAGGAAAGTGGAGCTTTGTATCAGTCTGACCCGTTAGGTTTAATCCTGCTCTGTCTTTATATTCTGAATCTTCACTCTCCGATATTCTCTCCAAATTACAACTACCTCTACGGTAATCTGACACTGCTGTGGCCTACATTACACCTCAGCCTGTGTGGGTGTGTCCAATTGAGTGTGATGGAACCAGACAATTGTGACAGCGGTGATAAGACAGTCAATCAAAATGGTTATCAAATATGATAAAATCCAATCACACAGAAAGGTGGTCAGACGTTCAGCAGTTCAGGTTTAAAGTGCTGCTGGATTACAGGACCTGAAAAGCATAATCCTACTTTATAATTTCGTGTCTGTTTATGTAATCAGAGCTATATTGCTCTCTGGTGGCCAAAATCTGCATAGCATGAACCCTCAGTCTACAGCAACCAAAGTTTTTTTGAGCCCATTAAAATAAATTCAGTTCTCCTTTCTTTTATTTCATTTGAATACAATTTTAATTATAAACCTAATTTGGTGCAGCCGAAATCTGTTTCTTTTCTTTTCTACCCCTTTATTCATCTTACAGCCACTTATTTACACATACATCAACCCCTTGGGGTGTTGCTTGATAATGCAACCCATGAGAGTGCATAGTTTATGTCTTTTCCTGTTTATATTTACAGTTTGCTATGGGAATTTGAGGGCACAAGAATCCAATCATAAAATGCTAACAGACTTGACTAAAAGTTTTTGTTTGGTGAACTTTTTTAATGAAAAAGGTGACAGAAGTGACAAACCAGACCAATCATTTCTGTCCATAAAAAATACTTTTCAGTGTAATAACAAAGTGATACAGACAAAGAAAAAAATTTTTCATTCATGGCAGTGAGTGAAGCAATGGTGTGCAAAAATATTTAAATGTAGACATTATGCAAAAACTGGGGTAGGCGATTTGCAATAGAACAACAAGGACATTGCTAACATGTTGTTGTTAAGCAGGTATGTTGTTTTCTTTATTCATCATCTTAGTTTAAATGTGTCTGCATGCTAACATTGTTAATTTTTACCAAATACAAAGTACAGGTGAGGTTGAGGTCATTTGTTTTGCAGGTATTTTGTCATAAAGTGTTGGACAAATTGACATTTTGACTTGATGATGGTGCTATATGGAAAGGTAAATGATTACCAAGTTATTTGAAATTCATCCAAAGGAGGCCATCTGTACCAAATTTCATCGCTAACCTTAACTCCTCTAACCCACTCAATAGTTGTCAAGATATTTAATTTACAGCCACTTATGTCAACCTCATGGTGGCCCTAGAGGAAAGGGATCACCAAAGTCAGTAAGCTTTACCTTCTGAGGACCATGAACTGCCACACTTTGAGCTAAATTCTAATATCAGCATGCCAAAATAATCATAATGACAATGCTAGCATGCTGATGTTTTGCAGATGTAATCTGTAGCATGTTCATAATCTTAGTTTTGTGTTTTACCATGCCAGCATTTGCTAATTAGCACTTTACCGTGTTCAATGGTACATTCACAGAACGTCAGGGGGAACGTCAGGGGTGTTGGAAGTAACATTTTTGGGGCATTGAGATTTTCTTTGGGGGGCATTTGTTTATGCAAAAGAGACGTAACATTAGAATCAGCTATAAAATTTCACCAACATGGTGTTAACTGTGTCAGCTCAGGAAAATTTACCCTCTCTGCCTTGGTAGGCTATTCCCCACGGAGGAAATTAAGTTTCTTCCACTTGAAAGCATTCATTTTACACTATTTCTCTCTATAACATTATTCAATTTGAGTGGCTTTATTGGCATGAATGCATACAACTTAAACTATTCAATCATAATAAACATAAATAAAAAATTTTTTTAAACAATATTATAAAACCAGACCAGTGGCACCAGACCAGCACACATCAAGTCACACTAACGCCATTGACAGGCTTGCTTCCAGCTGAGATGGGGGTGTTTACCACTGCAACTATTTTCTGCAGCGTTCTAAAATGTTTCGTTAAACATCTTTAATAAGGTCAAAACACAACCTCATGTACACCAACCACCTGAGGATGGTTAAAGTAGACATGAAACTACATTGAAAATGATATTCCAACTGTCCAGTTAAATCTAATCTGTTTTTTGGAATTCTTTTCTTTTTTAATGATATAAGATGGAATAGTAATCAATATGAATATTCAGGGAAGATAGTTACTTTATATCCTATTTTATGGGGGGCAGTAAGGAACCTGGATAATGGACAGGGGGCAGATGTCCCAAAAAATGTTGAAAACCACTGCACTAAACACAGTTTAGTACTGTTGAAGGTGATGGCAATGTCAGTGTCCTAGTTTTGCAGGTATTTGGTCATGAACCAAAATATTAGCCAAAATGTTATATTGACCTGATGGTAGCACTACATTATGTAAGAAGATTATTACAGTTACAAAATCCTCTGGAGAACATAAATGTCTCCACCAAATTTCAATCCATTTAATGGTTTAAAAGATATTTCAATAAAAAACAAGAACGATAACTTCATGGTGGCACTAAAAGAAAAGTCAGGGGATTATAGAAAGTCAGTAACATACACCCTCTAGGTGTCAAAAATGTCTGTAACAAATGTTATGGCAATTCATCCTATAATTGTGGTAAAGTGGTGGACGGACCTATCGACATATTGGGACTTCCCTCCTTGAGCCATGCCACTAGCTTGGCTAAAAATACTTTATAGAACTACATTACCAATTCCTGTTCCCCATGCTTTATGTGGTGGCCATAGTTTTAATGCAATAGGTCAGAGTGCATGAGTGAATTAGGCCTACATGTACATTAAGGCATACCTGACATGATTAAATCCCAAAGCATCTAGCTGCTATGTTCCGCCTCTGATTTTGATTCTTGTCTTTGGAATGAGGCTGAACACGAACCCTTTGGTGACCCTGGCATTCCAAGGCCAATATCTCGACTGCTTTTCCGCCTAATATGTGCTCTTAAACTTCGCCCTGGCACCATCAGTAACCCCCCTCCTTCCTCTACCAAACCATCAAACACTGTTCCCAGACTTTGTCTTATCCTCACACAGAAGTCTGGGCAGCTGAAGGCGTACAAAATGGGGTTCAACACTGGATTCAAGAATGCAAAGGTTGTGGCTAGGGGCAGCCCCACTTCCACCAAGTTGAGATTTTTCCTCCAGTACTGCGCCGTCACTTCGATTATGCAGAAAATGTGATAGGGAGCCCAGCACAGTGCAAATGCTGCAATCACAAATGACACCATCTTGGTGAACCCCCTGGATAGCTGACTGTGATTGGTCTGATTAGAGGTAGTAGGGGACAGGGTAGTAGGTGTCAGGGATAAAGATGGACCAGAGGCCAGAGGCTTGAGAAAGATATTTGTGTTTTTTGTGGTTGTAGTGCTTTTTGTAATTCCTGATGCTCCATCTTTGTTTGACATAACGAGTGCATCAGTGAGCCTACTGGCACTCTGCTTCCTCCTCCTGCTCCTTTTCCTCAGACTGAGACCAATTTGGATGTAGCTCCCCGCAATCACCACCAGGGGGAAGAGAAATGCTAGCAGCAACTTGGAGATGGCTGTTGCTGCCTGCCTCACTTGACAATCTCTCTCCAGATTGGTTGAATACATTGCAAAATTGTGATAGCACAGTTTCCTCCCATCCTCTTTCACAGTCACTGAGCGGAACACAAAGTAAGGTAATGTATTAATTGCTGCCCACAGCCAACCCAATACAGACACCTTCCATGCTCCTGCCACTGACCGATGATTCTGACTCCACACTGGCTTGGCCACCAGAAGGCAGCGGTCCAGTGAAATGGCTGCCAGCAGGAAGGCTGACACAAACATGTTTAAGAAGAAGATGGAAGCCTGTGTTTTGCAAAGTGGGCTGCCGAGTTCCCAGCTATGTGAGGAGCCAAGGTAGAACGTGAAGAGGGGCAACGTCAGAGTTGTCAGGAAGTCTGACATGGCTAGGTTGAGAACCCAGACAGAGGCCACAGTGCGGCGCTGAAGGCGGAAGCCAACTACCCACAGAATTAGGGCATTCTCCATTATCCCCAGGCAGGATACCAGACCGTGGATGCAAACCACCACCAAATTGGCGTTTGTGTTGTTGTTGAGGCTGTGGTTCCTCATGATCTGTAGCAAGGGACAGAACTCTTCCTCGGTGGTGTTTGACATCAGTGCTCTGAAAGAAAATACAAAGGCCAATGAAGAGTTACAGTTAAAGTTAGGAGGTACTGGTGCAAACATGCTTTTATTTATTTTCCCAGGAAGTCCTACCGTGATAAACAAATCTTTGTTCTTTTTTAAAAGCTAAACCCTTGATACTTGTTTTTTATGCATGTTCTCATCTACAGTGGGGGGGGGGGGGGGTTCCAAGAAAAATTTGTTATAGTGATGTTGATGATGATGTTATGACTAGTAGACTTGCCCTTGCCTGTAGACGTCTGATAAATCGTCAGTGTGTTGTTGTTCAATGTTCAGTGACTAGATGAAATGAGTCTGTAATTGTCTGGCTTGTTAATCTTTATTGCTCAATTACAAATCTACTTTGCTGCAGAGGAAACTGTAAAGAAAACCTCAGCAAATGCAGTCAGGGTTACATTTTTGTCTTTTTGACTGTACAGTCACGTTACAATAACAAGAGCAAGGAAGACAGTGCCAAGACATTTCATGCATCACACTCATTGCCTGCTCTACACCCTTTCAAGTTGCATAATGACACAGTAATGTAATGACTGTCTTTGGCCTGGACATGTAGCTGAGAACTTCTACCATACCAGCTCTGTCACAATACACTGCAATACTACAGTTACACTAGTTTCCTTGTATTCCTTATTGTCAGGAAACCAAATGAGGATAAAAATCTCTGCAGTATCCCTTTGATACTGACATGTCGAAGCTTGTTCTTGTGGTTTAACCACATACCAGAAACTACGTATGCTTAATTAAGCAATGCAGCCTGCCCATGTTTTAGAAGGAGATACCAGCATGCTGTTGCCAAGATAGAATAGGAAGGATAATCAAACCCCATTTGCTAACATGCTGACTTTCCACCCCATTTATTGGCTGGAAGTTAATGACAAGACCCATCAAGGGCAGTGGCTGTACATCATGTTTTCATTGCTTCTCACTGAAAAGTTTAGAGCTCTTTTACTGAGAGACACAGCTCTAAAGAACGAAAAAATTACCTAATATAATAATGCCTTGATCATCTTAGCTTACCCTCTGAGAGGAAGCAGAAAACCATTGAACTCTAAGGAGTGTAATATATGACAGAGGTGGATCTGAAACAACAGAGCTAGTTTGGTACATAAAAGTTGTAGATGTATCTGCTTACTTATTTTACACACAGTAGCATTAAAACAGTACAGGTCAGTAGTTAAGTTATGGTTATATTAGGTATGAAGGTACATACAATATATATAGCAGAAATGTGGAACATGTAAATATTACAAAATATTTTAGAATGAAAATTACTCACTACTTACTTCAAATTCAGTGGTACCATTGTATTCTTACATACCGCCATGGTAACATTCTTAGTCACCTCCACTTATCCTGACTACTTGGATGAGGTAAACAGCACCATGTCTGCACAGGAATACAGACACATGAGCTAATATATCCATGACACAAAACTGACGTGACTCCTTTCCCCCTCAAGTGTAAATAGCGTGGTCTCAAATCCCAGGGTATTTTTGCATGGCTTAAGTTTTGAGTTGTGAATTTCTTGGTGTGACAACTGCCTTTAAAATTGTAAATTGAGAACTGAAATTGAGGCTTACTGGAAACGCTGAATATGCAGCACAGAGCAATAATGGTCAAAGTGAGCCACACAGTACTTTAACACCAAGTTGTTGAACATGCAAGGTTTTTATTAATACTTCCTTTTTATGATAAAATGTCCATGTGCACACACTTGTGTGTTATGGCTCAGTGTGGCTTTTTCACTTAATGACCTCTCAGTGTATACATGACTCCACATTTCTACATCTCTATTTGTTTGACATTGTAATTGGTCCTGATTAGCTGCTCTGCTGTTTGGTTGCTTTTGACATTTAATATAGACAATCAGTTGGCTTTTTATTACAGGTATAGAGGTTGCCCTAGCTAAAATGTAGACACCAGGTAGACAAAATATGAGAAACATCTCTCCATAACTAGTTCAACAGCCTCATAAAATACAGCCTCCACAATGACCATAAAGTTGAATCCACATTTCTCCTAAATAGTTTCAACAGAAAACTAAACAGTGTAACCTTCATGAAGGTAGGATTTATTGCATAGCTCTGTTACTAGACTGCACACATTTTCTGGTAGGTGTACCATGTAATAAACTGGCAACTGAACGTATACACTGCATGTTTATCGAGCAATCAATCAATTCAATATTGTACCAATCTGTAAATCTCACAGCACATTCTGATGTGAATTCCTAGTACTGAATGTATCTGCAGATTACTGATAGAGTGTGGTATGTGGTGATAAGATCCAGTATCTTACATGAGAATCTATTCTTTCTGCAAACACAAAGAGCTGTTTGTCTTGTAGATAAAACAACAATAACAACAAAACCTATTAACAACAACTGTATACAAATTATAAAGTACAATGGTATATAGTGTAATAGAAGGTACACATTCAACATTAACATGCACTAATGATTATAGAAATCATCACGGTTCTTATTCCTAATGTGATGGCAGCTAAATACAGTCATCATAGTGCTGGGAAACTGAACTAATTTAAAAGTAATTGTAACACTCACCTAGACGCTGGCTTACTTTCACACGGAAGAGAGAAAGTCACAATCTTTCTTTCAAAATTCCTGTTCTCTCACTCAATCTCATCCTCCCAGTTCTGTCACTTTCTACAGCTCCTGTTGTGGACACGCCCACTGAATCCCTGCCATCACACCCCACCCACCGACCCCCCCCACACACACACACACACTCATACCTTTCGTTACTCCGCCCTATATGCAGAAGATTGTGAGAGAGACAGAGAGTGTGTAAGGCTGTGGACAGGGATGCAGGTGTAGAAAGATTGAAGAATGAAAAAGTACATAAGAGAAATACAAAACAACAGAATAGGAAATGAAATATGATATGTGTCATATGTTTGAGTATCTGCCAGGTCTGAACTTGTGGGAACTAGTTCCCCTGATGCTTCATACTGTGCTGTAGTTTTCATGACATGAATACATTGCATCAACATGGAGTATAAATCTGTTGAAATATCCTCAAACCTCATACACTCTTTGTGTAGTTAACAGTCCTACTCCTTTAACTACAACAACAAAATTGAAATGAGACTTCTGACATATCACAGTATATTTTAGAGCAAAGTGTGAAGAGGAGAAAACTGTTTTGCATAATGGCTACAAACGTCTCTGGCACCATCTGGTGGTGAACACGACTCAAAAACACCTCTCACTTTCAGTCTGCCCCTTTTGTGTGTTTACACAGGGGAGATCAAAGATGTTGAGAGTTCACAAACCATATTGTTAAGTGTAAAGTATGTAAAAAATAATACAAATAGCTTTCATTTAAATAAAATATATTTGTATGGTTCAAAAAAGATAGGGGGTTAAAAAAGCATAGCCTCTGTAGAAACAGAAACTGGAGTGCTTGAGTACTTATATGCTTCCAGTAATATAGAGGACCCAGGCAGTAATTTGTTTATGGAAGTGTCTTGAGACATTACTATAAGTACCATGTTTTTATTTAATATTCCCTTTATTTTTAGTTAGTTAATAATTATTTTCTGAAATGATAATGTTCATGTATTCAATGAACATTACCCTGAAGTGTAGCAAAGTCGCTGAGCTTTGTCAGTAAAATGATTAGTTAATGGGGCTGAGATGCATCAGGTTGTATTTCACCAAATTACAAGACAGTATATACCAATCAACGGATTAAACACTAATACGTCACCTTACATTACATTTGTAGCTTTATGTGTAACACTGGCAAATAGTACTAGTGTAATTTAAAAGTAATGGGATTTATATTTTATTTTACATCAATCAGCTGTTTGGCCTCATATAGTTTTTTCAGAAACAGTCAACACCTACATCGACAACCACAGATGACTGTACCTTGACGGTAAAACCATACCATGCATTGTACCATGTATGTAACCATGTATTTGTCAAGATATTGGTCTGGGTTATACTTTTACCAGTTTGGAAACAAATTTTGACAAGCAATTTAGTTAATTACTTTAACAGGGTATTTATAACAGAGAGAATAAAAAATATTAATAATGTGATTTTTAAAAATATTATATGCCAACACATGCTTCAGTTGAAAGTCTGGCAGTAAAGATGAGGACAAATCAATTCTATGAAAATGTCAAATTCTGACCTCAGAACAGTTAAGACTATAATCCATCCCAGCTCCCTGGCAAGCTTTAATCCTATCCTGTATCCTGGATAAAGGTCAGGGTGACTAGAATGAAATGAAAAGTACATCTAATAGGGTCTCTGTTTGACATTGTAATTGCTCCTGATTAGCTGCTCTGCTGTTTGGTTGCTTTTGACATTTAATATAGACAATCAGTTGGCTTTTTATTACAGGTATAGAGGTTGCCCTAGCTAAAATGTAGACACCAGGTAGACAAAATATGAGAAACATCTCTCCATAACTAGTTCAACAGCCTCATAAAATACAGCCTCCACAATGACCATAAAGTTGAATCAACATCTCTCCTAAATAGTTTCAACAGAAAACTAAACAGTGTAACCTTCATGAAGGTAGGATTTATTGCATAGCTCTGTTACTAGACTGCACACATTTTCTGGTAGGTGTACCATGTAATATTAATAATGTGATTTTTAAAAATATTATATGCCAACACATGCTTCAATTGAAAGTCTGGCAGTAAAAAATGAAAAGTACATCTAATAGGATCTACATGTATGTGCACCGATTGTTAAACCAAATTTAAACCAGAAAACAACTGACTTGTTGACAGTTGACAGAAACAGTGATGATGAAAATACCCCAACAAAATAATTCATAACATAATAAAAGTACAGAATAAGCCCTATCTTTTATCTAATAGTGTATTTCTATTTCTCCAAGAAACCAGTATATACAGTGTAATAAAATTAAAAGGTTTTCTCTTTTCTCCTGGTTAAAGTTTTCCAATTAAATCAACCTGTAAGCAATTTCCATTGTTGTAAACTACTATTTATACAATAACTGTTTTATATAAATGTTAAATATAAATATATAAATAAATATTTTTTTACACATTATTTTAATGTTTACAGAAAAATGTTGCAAACATTACATTACAAGAATTAGAACCCTTTGTTGCTTTCAGTTCACTAATCAATGAGAAATCTCTAAAAAACAATGAAAACGAAATATTAAATTAATTAATTAATTAAGAAACTTTTCATGTCACATTCTGTACATTGAATAACTTGACTGGGCTATAAATAGAAATATAAATGATATATTATTTTCTGTGAAAAACACCAGGATATTTGAAAGAATACCAAAGATCAAGCTTCTAAAAATCAGAAAAATTTAGTTTGCTATGTATTTCTCTTGCCTTCACCTTCACTCAGTTATTTTGGATTTGGCTTATAAAAATTCTCTCTTCCTGCAGATTGCAGATCATGACTCCAGTGCTGGGCATAGCCCTGCTGACTTTGGTCCTATCAGGGCCCACCGTGGCCTTTTTCTCTATCCAGGGTGGGGCATCCACTCATATCAGCATTACAAGAACGGCTCTATTACAAAAAGTGACTGAGACATGTCGGAAAGTGGCTGCGACAGCTGGTCATGAGTTCAATCCCACGGTAGGATGGTAGAAATAATGGACGAACCAATGTGCAAGACAGCACAAATAAAGGCTGTTGTTCCCACAGCGAGCAAAACAAATCACATTGAATCTGATCTTTTCAAATCTGATTTGGGCCACTTTCAAATTTGGTCCAAATCAGATGCATGTCTCATTTTTTGCAAAGTGACCTGTATGAACGGTCAAATCAGAATTCATGTGGCTTTTACACCACTCAACTTTCGTCATGGGGGTCACTTCATGACTGTGACCCTATCACACTGGCATCTGATATGGGCCACATTTTAAAAGTAATGAAGTATTGATGAAAAGGCAGCCATCTGACCCATAAATCTGAATTAAGTGCTTACAGTGTGAATGTAGCCGCACACAACACACACAAACACATTTAAAAATACTCACACGTTCACCCTGATTTCAACACATTTGTTTGTTCAAATTCAGCAAGCAGTGTTCAGTTAGTTGCAATCTGCAACTTCACCACTAGATGCCACTAAATATTACATACTCCATCATTTAAACCTGGAATCTGTGAGTATACCTTCTGATGTTTAGGAAAGCACACAACATTAATTACTGTTAGATCCTGGCTGATCCTGTCATAAATTACATTAAATGAAGGTGCTACTGCTGTACCATCCACCATACAAACGGTGTTTATCCATGAGCTGGCTTTGTGCCTGCAGGCAAACAGAGCCATAGTCACTTCATCATATCCTTTGTGACAAATATGGCTAAATTGTTAAGGCAAAAAGCCCTATGTGCACAGCTGCTCTTGTTTAAATTGTGAAACTTTGACCTCTGACAACAGGGTTCGTCTCCTGAAGAGCTGGTCCAGGCCTGTCTGGGACCCAGAGCAACAGGAGAAGTGTCTGGTGTCAAGTTTCACTCTGCTCTTCAAGAAATCTACACCCAGAACGGACTGGTAGACCGTGACTTTGTCAACAGGTAAGAGAAGAGGTGGAAACAAACAAAAAGCAATACAATAACGGGACTTTTGTGTTGATGTGATTTAAATTTTATTTCCTTTCACACCTACCAAAATTCTCTCAGTGCTCCACACCACTTCAACTCAGAGGCCTTTCTGGAAGGACGTGGTCTAATCAGAGAGGGGATGGTGGCCATTAAAGCTAACATTGGCAAAGAGAACTTCCAGGCTGCCAGGGAAACACTGGGCAGAGTCCTTCACACACTACAGGTGAGATGGTCTGAATGACACAGCTCAGCATAGAGAGGTTAAAGGGCAAGGGGGGGAGGACTTGGAGTAACAAACAGGCATCTACTGAATGAAAGAATGGAGGAGGCAGAATGAGAGAGAAATGAGACTGAAAGTTTGCTATGGTGTGTATAAACAGTGAATATGAAATCATAACTCTGACTACGCATTCTCTCCCAAGCTTGGCAGGACAGCAAAACAAAAAGTGAACCTCATTCTTAGTGTCACCTAGATCACACAATAGTCTGTTAATGTGTGTGTTTCAATGCACTGCCAGGACTTCTACAGCCACAGTAACTGGGTGGAGCTGGGATACACAGAGCCATACATCAACCTCATACGCCCAGACCTTCCTCTGGAAAATCTGGCAGGTGTGTGTGTGTATGTGTGTTATTGTTGTCATATAGGACATGTTGTTTTATCTCACGTGTTGTTTTATCTCTATGCCATGGCCACAGAAAATACTTGATTCTGATTGGCAGCGGTGTAGTTTCTTTATGTGGACCACTGTGTGACCTGTCTCTAAAAGTGGTCTCTAAAATGTATTCCATCATAACCATCTTTGTCAGAACAGCCAACCTAATTAAATTAAGTGGCAACACTTTATAATGAGTACACACTATTAAGCATTAGTTAAGCATGAATAAATACTGAATTCATCATTTATAACGCATGAATAAACATTAGTATGTAGTTTATAAACACAGTTAAAAATGTTTTATTCATCATCGATAAGCACATTAGTTATGGATTAGTAAATACTGAATTCATGTTGTTCTATAAAACTCACAACAAATTCATTTTCTAATGATGGCCTATAAACAGTGATTAATGCAGGAATTCACAGTTACAAAGCACTTACTACTCGTTAATTAAGTATTTTGCACGAGCTGATCTAAAGTGAGCACTATCTATGGCTTATTAAGCATTTACAAATGAGATATAAAGGCTGACAATGCCTCCAGACTCACAAAATGTTCAGTTATCTTAACAGACGAGGGAGAGAAACAACACAAAGGGATATAGAACATATTGTATGTGATATTTACTGCAACTTCCCAACATATTGTATGAAGACGAACAAGGTGGTTTATGAAGACATGCTATTGTTGTGATCTTCTCTGTTTGGGACGTGTATGTTGAGCTCCCGCTCTCAGCACGTCATCACAGTACGTCAGTACAATGAAGAGTAAAACATTTATAACTGTGATTATAAACCACATAGTAATGACTATTTACAGCAGAATCATGCTTTATAAATGATGAATTCAGTATTTACTAATCCATAACTAATGTGCTTATCAATGATGAATAAAACATTTTTAACTGTGTTTATAAACTACATACTAATGTTTATTCATGCGTTATAAATGATGAATTCAGTATTTATTCATGCTTAACTAATGCTTAATAGTGTGTACTCATTATAAAGTGTTACCACTTAAGTTATGTTTACTTACCTTGGTTCAGAGTTAAATGAGTCTTACTCATTGTGCGTTCTGTGCCTTTTGTTTGGGTAGATATCTACACTGCCACCTGCAGTGACTGTGCCAGTGGAAAATGCCCCAATCCCATCCTCCCCAACATCCTGAAGGAGAAGAAACTCACATCAGGCTACATTGGAATCTTCTCTGCAGCCAAGCCTAAAGGTATCAGTGACATATCTCCCTATTCAAACACATAGGGCCATATTCACTGACAGTGCAATGTGTTTTAATTGCCCTCAAGGAGGACATTAACTTCCACAGCTAGTCAAGACATGTAGACATTTATATTAGACCATTAATACTTGGATACATGACCTGACAAACAAGTTCAACCTGTCCTTTCTGTCCTGCACCAGGTAAATGCAGTCATGGAGGTGCAGCTGACCTGACTAGTGCAGCAGTTCCTCATGGAGGCATAAGCAAAGATGAGCGCCGCTCCGACAACGTGGTGCTCCACAATGCTGCTGTGAATGCAGCCACAGCCGCCAGCCTGCAGCTGCTGGAGGACATCCGGTTAGCTGTCGGTGACAATGACTTTCTGAGGTATACCGTTCAGATATGATGTGAAATGATCTCAATCTCAATTTGATCTTGAATCTCAAAGTTTTACTTTCTGATGAAAACAACCATTATATTGTCCCGACTGAGAAGAAGAGTAGACCTTTAATGCTTCACTCTCTCTTTCTTTCTCATAGAATGATGGGGATTGCCCGCTCCTCTGTCGTGTGCTTCGTTATTGACACCACTGGCAGTATGTCAGATGACATCAATGAAGCCAGAGCGGTTGTTTACGAAATCATTGACAGCAAAAAAGGAACGCAGGATGAGCCATCCGAGTACATTCTGGTGCCTTTCAATGACCCCGGTATGACTTGTGTAGTTTGACATGCCCTTCAACACAGAAGAAGTCAGCCATTTTAGTTGGTAGTGTGCAGCCACATTTTTGCTGAATGGTTTCAATGACCATCTGCTGCAATCTATCCTCTTTATGCCATTGAAACCATTGTTTGCATATTAGTTTATCACAGAGCATAAAACCCAGATGCAGAGTGTCAATATGCAGTTTATACTATGTTTGATTATGTGTCTTGCTTATTGTATTATTTTGTATATGTTCTTCAGTTTAACTCATATTCATACTATATGTGAAGGTTCCACCAAAATAAAGCACCAAGAGCTTGGACACTTTCGTATTCATTGGAACAGAGTTTGCATCCATTTTCTGTGCTTTATATATAGAGTTTGGACCTATGACCAGAACAACAGACCCTGATAAGATGAAAAGTGAAATCTCTAAGCTCACAGCATCAGGAGGTGGTGATACCCCTGAGATGTGCCTGTCAGGACTTCAGGTACTATACATTGTTAGATTGTAACTGTTGATTGGGGAATCACCAAAAATATTTTGGTGATCCAGAATGAACTGACTAGGCACATTATTTTATTCCTCCAGTTGGCTCTCACCGGTGCCCCTGCCTCTTCCCACATCTATGTTTTCACTGACGCTATAGCCAAAGACATCGACCTCAAGGACACTATTGTTGCTCTCATCAGGAGCTCCAAGTCAACGGTAAATACTGACTGACACCAATGATGACTTGTTCACACTGAATGTAACTTGAAAGGGTGTGTGGTATAATATCCACATTAAACAATATCTGTAGGTGTCATTCTTCATGACCGGGGCCAGTCGGAGGCGTCGTCGTTCCCTCAGTGCTGCTTCCCTTGAAGACTACAAGGACCTGGCTTTGGCCTCTGGAGGCCAGGCCATCCAGGTGTCTAAGAGGCAGTTAGCTCAGGCCACAGATGTCATCCTTGACACGTCCACTTCAGCTCTGGTAAGACTGTGCAGTTCTAATATTACATAATTAGAATAATATCACATTTAATATTATATTCTGTACTATCTGAAGCAAGTAACAGGCCTTTTGTGGTTGGACCAGTTTGGAAAATAGATATGTAAACCATCCATTTTGTTCTCCCCTCCGCATCAGGTGACAGTCCTTCAGTGTGTAAGGAGACTTAGGAATCAGGAAACCTTCCCCTTCGTATTGGATGAAACTCTAAAAAATATCACTATCTACATCACAGGAACATCCATTACTTTCACACTGACCAACCCTGCAGGTAACACACCATTCCCACTGCAATGTTTGCACCGGTTTCAGACGATGTAAATGTTTGAGACACACACTCACTGTGACACATATTTATGACTAATGATGCATCTGACCAAATTCCAGGTGTGAGCCAGAACCACAATGAGGCCAGCGGTAAACTGGGGACCATACAGACAGTGGGTACCCTGAGGAGAATTCGTCTCAACGCTGACAATCAGACAGGAGCCTGGCAGATTAACATAAAGTCCAACCAAGCATACACACTTAAAGTCACAGGTCAGAAATTGTTGAAATTGTGTCTTTTTGCATATGTACCTCAACCTTTGCAGTTCAACTTTTAGGGAAATATGCTTATTCGCTGTCTTACTGAAAGATAGATAAGAACAGGGCTTACATATGAGTGGTTCATTTTACGTGATTTAACATAAACTTTTTTTGTAACATTATACATTACGGTACAATTACTTACTTAAAAGGAGGTAACTGTTCTAAGACCTGGGAGCAGCTGGAGAAACAGTTTTTCACTCTGCACTTTACTCAACCTGGATAACTGGACTAAAATTATGAAATAAAACGACCAATACAGTATTGGACTATATAAAAACAATAAATAACTGTAAAAGGAACAATAATAAAAAAATTGGACATCGCACAGCAAAGACTTTTGGTCAGTGGCATTGTGCTTTAAACTGGGATGCTGTAGGTAGGTAAGCAATGAAGTCTGTTTAGATTTTCAAAATAAACCTTGCTGAAAGACATTAAAGAAAAGATTGTGGGTTTGGTTAAAACAAGTGCCACGTAACGCAACAAGTTAAAAAGATGTCAACAGGACATGTAGCCTGAGGCACCACCTGGAGCTCTAACAGCAACAAAATACGTGTTTTATTAGAGGGATGCCCACATATGAACTTTTAGTCAGTACTGCAGTTTAATTTTGCAATTATATAAAAATGCAGGATATGATTAATTTACACACTAAACACAGTGTTGAGCCAACCAGGCCTTCACAACTGCCATATTCTTTTAAATAGCTACAGTTACTATTAACATGTTGTGCATATATTAGATATATTGTCTGTTTTTGTTTTCATTATTTTTTAAATAAATGCTTGTGGATTCATGGTGGTCTATTTAATGTTGCATTAGAGTGAATGCTGCCAACTTCTATGATCTATAAACTCCCAAATCCTTCAACCTACTAGCTATCGATGGTAATTTTGGTTGTAGTTATTAATTTCATTATTAATCAGAGTTCCTAATTAATATTTAGTTGTATTTAATGAAACTGAGAATTAATCAATTAATTGGCTTATTCATTTATTCAGCAGTAGACACCATGAGGCACCCAGCGGAGACCTAAAGTTACTGCTTATAGCCAAATAATAGTCCAGCTCATGACCCCAAGTAAAACCACAAATTGTCTGGGGTTTTTTTACAGATCAACCAAACATGTTAATTACATTTTTCACATTCCTTACCAAAGACAGAGCCATTGTAGCCGCCCCCCGCCCCCTTACCAGTCTTTGTGCTATTTGCATATACCAGACAAACACATCAGAGTGGTAGTGATCTTCTTTAACTTTAGGCAAGAAAGTGAATAAACGTATTTCCCCAATTTAGTTATTCCTTTAAAATAATCTAATTTGGAGTGTATATGCATTTACTCTAAGTCTGATGCTGTCTTTCCAGGCCAGAGTACCATTACCTTTATCTACAAATTTGTGGAACGCTTCAAAGGACCTCACCCAGGTTATGCAGCACGCACTGGGCATCCACAAGAAGGTACAGTACATGTAAAACAGGTACAGACACAAATGACACAACAAAATTTTTTGCTCAGGCAGACAAATCAAATTTAAAGATGCTATAATTAATATTTTCATATTAACAATGAATCACATTAAGATTTGTTAAACCCACAGATAATAATTACCGAACTTTGGAGTTACATTTTAGACATTTTTGACAAAAGGCGATTGGGCTTTTGCCATTAGAGCCCCCACACTTACTGCCTAGTGAATTCAGACACATTACATCTCTTGATTCTTTTAAATCTCTTTATAAAACTTTTTGTGCAAGCTTATGGGAATATCAAACATATAAAAACAACATAAATGGCAAAAATATCGCATACCACACTGCACCCTAAATCACTGCTCAAACCCTACTGTGAAGTCCAAAACATGGTTCACATTTTGTAAATGCAAAATACATCGATCAGCCATAACATTCTGACCACCTGGGCACCCTGGTGGTCGTAATGTTTTGCAGTCCCATACCAACAATATGTGATGCACTGTGTTCTGACCCCTTTCTATCAGAACCAGCATTAACTGTTTCAGCAGTTTGAGCTACAGTAGCTCGTCTGTTGGATCGGACCACATGGGCCAGCCATTACTACCCATGTACATCAATGATCCTCGGCTGCCCATGACCCTGTCTTCAGTTATTTTCCTTCCATGGACCCCTTTAGATAGTTACTGACCAGGAACCCCCGACAAGAGCTGCAGGTTTGGAGATGCTCTGACCCAGTCATCTAGCCATCACAATGTGGCCCTTGTCAAAGTCGCTCAAATCCTCACACTGCCCATTTTTCCTGCTTCTAACACGTCAACTTTGAGGACAAAATCCCACCCACTGACAGGTGCCATGATAACCAGATAATCAGTTTTCACTTCACCAGTCAGTGCTCAAAATGTAATGACTGATCGGTGTATATGCTTCACATCTAACTTTGCTCAGACCTAAAAGTAATCAGTATTTTTCCCAAAACTGATGGCATGGCACTCTTAAGCTTTTGATGAGGTTAGGCAAATCAAGCACCCTTCCACCACTCATTCCTGAAACTATCCAATATTTACTGTTAAATCTGTCAATCACTTTCCTCCATGAAAATTAATCTTCTTCCTATTCGTCCCCCTACCTTGCTTCTTTGTTCCTTTTCTGGAAACCCAGGCCAGCCGGCCATCCTGATGCTCTCAGTAATGGGTAGGAAAGGTCCATCCTCGCTGGCTATTGGAGACATTGGTCTGGTAACTGTATCTGGTCCTGAGACTAATAGCAATAGCACAACAAGTGACATGGGCAACGGAGACATCTTGGTGACTGTTGATGAAGTCCCTGGGGGAGAGTTTGTGGTCATTCTGAGAGGAACTGACAAACTGTCAAACACAGAATTTCAGAGGAGCTCCACCCAGATGTCCGTCTCCAAAGTGAATATTCAGGTTGGTCTCTTCACTTCCTCTTCACATCCTCTTTACCCATTCAGTGTTGTTTGATTTAAAGTAAGATCTGAGAATATTGACACTTTTGCAGAGTGCTTTGAACTTTCTAGAGGTGCAAGAACAATATAACTGTTCGTCACTTGTTTCGTTCCTTTCTTCTCTTCCATTTCCCTCTAGGCTGTGGTGGACAGCAGTGTGGAGCCAGGGAAAGCCTTCAAGCTCCCCTTCAGTGTCATGACCCAAGGCTCTGGTGGTCAATACTCGATTGGTGCCAGAAATGACAGAAACTTCCCCATGTCCTTCCCAAACAGGTGAGGAGAAACAGCTAAATAGATAGGCCCGCTGACACGCTCAGGTATAGCCCCATTGTGGAATCTGGCATTGCTGGTGTGAAGCAGCAGAGTGTGCTGTGTCTGCCAGGGGTGTTAGAAGTGCACCATATGAGTGTATAACATGGCTGGGCCTGCTTTCACGCATGCCTGGGTGTTAAGTGCGTTGTTCAATGTGAAACCATATGCACTTCTCTTCATAATTTGACTTCATTTTACTTAAGTGGAAACAATAGGGAGAAAAAGAGGGAAAGCAAAAAAAGAGATCATAGGCTGTTTTCCCTTAGATAAGTACGCATACATATTAAAGTACTATTAAAAAAAAGATGAAAGAATAGATGGATATTGTAGGTGGTCACTAATTGCATATGCCTGCAGAAGATGATCAATGTGTGTCTTGCCTAGGTTGTAGCCATGCTATGGCAGCCTGTGAGCCTCCTGTATGGATTACTTTATCATGCCATTTTTATTACTTGTTATTATTATTAATTACTAACATATTATTATTATTTTTCTTTTCTTTCAATTATTATTTATTTCTCTTGACAGCCTCACCTTGACAGCTGGACAATATGCTAATACTACTTTAACCATTACACCACCTGCCAACACGCCATCAGGCACTGATGTCACTCTGACGATAGAAGCCAAGTCGTCCAGTGGTGGCGACTCCAATTATGCCGTTTTGAGATTTTCAGTTGTTACCAAGGTAACCAGACACATCCTGGATTACAAAGTTGAAAAGAGTGAAATAAATAAATATGTTTAAAAAACAGCATAGCTGGTATGCCACAAATATAGCTATTACAGATGAACTTCAAATACAGATGTAAATGACCCTGTTATTGCTGTGATTCATGCATACATTTCACCCTTTGTTCTCTGTCCAGATTACAGACTTTGTTCAGCCTTTGTGTGAAGTGGTTAGTGTTCTGGCTAATGATTGCCCTCAAGATGTGTCTCAGTGTGGACCTTTCCGATGGGAGCTCTCGGCCAACCTTACTGATGGAAACGGCACTGGAATAGAGACTATTTCCCTGCGTCAGGGCAATGGAACCCTCTTACACAGCTCCTTGAGTGATCCTGTTGTTTGGGCAAACTACACATCCTCCTGCTGCTCTCAGATTGTTGAGTTTATAGCTGTAGATGAAGTTGGCAATGTGGGAAAGTGCTATCATTCCATTGTACGTTCTGATGGCCCTCCTGCTTTAACCCTGTCGCTGCCAGTGTGGTTGTGCCTGCTGGTATCTGCCTTTGTAGCAAGGGGTTGAAGGCCTTAAGGCTAAGTTGCTCAGATATCCTGCTTAAATAAAATGTGAGCACTGATTGAGTAATGGATCATGAATGTGTACGTTAATAATAACAAAATCAGTTGTTACATGGTTGAATATTTTCCTAGTGTTTGAAACACGTTTCAGTTTTGCTGACAAAAATCAGTTGCCTGTACGCCTAATGCCACTTTCCACGCAGGTATCCAAATGTTAAAAAATCCACGCGCGGTGAGAGTAGTACACATACAACACCATGTAGTCCTTTGAGTCTCACAGTGTGATGTTGCGAGTTGGCAAAAAAGGGAAAAATAAAAGTGTGAATTTAGGTGACACTTTATTTAGAGCTTTTTTCTTTCACTACACTGTTAGGATGCAATTAACGTAGGGATGTGTGTGTGATTAACGCATTTTTAACAAGCCTTAATCACTTTCATTTGAGTAATTATGTTTCTTACTGTTGGCTGTCGGATGAATGACATGTAAAAGTCCTATGCCCATTTCAGCATCTCAATATGTTTGCTTTCTCTGCCACTGCTCTTTCTACCCTCTGTGCTCTTTGGACCTGTAGATCTGGAATGGAATGGAATCACAGTTCAGCTGGTTGCCTGGTTCCTGTACATGTCAAAGGTTTTTTGAGGCAGGGCACTAGGATTCTCCCAGGAATGTTGTAAGAAACCACGCCTGCTGCAGTAAAACCCTTGCTGCCCTGTCCAAATACCTGGCTGAACCTAAGTACACTATTTCTAAGGGGATATCCAAAGAACTGGGAGTGCTTGAGTACTTATATGCTTCCAGTAATATATATAGGATCCAGGAAGGAGTTGGTTTATGAATGTGACTTGAGTCATCATACTAGCTTCTATAAGCACTATGCTTTAGTTTTATGTTTCCTTTGTTTTTCTCCAAATATTATATATATATATTTTTGGAATGATAATGTGTTCAATTAACCTTATTCTGAACTGTACTAGAGTCATTGAGCTTTGTCAAATTATTAGTTTATGGGGCTCAGATACACCAAGTTGTATTTCACCATATTAAAGACAACACCTACCAGTCAAAGGGTTAAAAATTAATACGTGACCTCATATTACATTACAATATAACTTTGTGTGTTACACTGGAAAATATGCTTGTGTGATTTCAAATGAAAGTAATTTATCTGTATCACAATTTTACATCAATCACCTTATTCCTATAGTTTAACAGTCAAGATGGCTGTCCCTTCACAATAAAACCATAAATGTAGAGTTAGGGTTAGACTGTCATAATTAGCAAGATATGACAAGACTCTGACCTCAGAACAGTTAAGACTAATGTTTACCAAGTACTCGGCTGGAGCGTGTGCCTGGTACAGATAATTTCCTTTTTAAGAGTATCATCAGAGGAAAATGTGTAAATATCAGTATTCATAAATAAAGCAACTTTTATTAACAACCTTGTTATAGTTGTCTTACTGACATCGCTCTGAAGCTCAATTCTGAGGCTGACAACAAACAAAAATCCCAGCGTGACTCAACCTATTTTCATTGTGAATTAGAAAATAGTAAGCAGACCACCCGGTCTTAAATTAAGCATCGACTCTAATCCATCCCAGCTCTTTGGCAAGCTTTCCTATATATTCCAGATACAGGTCAGTGCCAAAGAGGAATTTCCATTTTATAAAAATGTAATGAACAATTAAGTAATCTGAATATGGTATACTGTAGTCAAAGTCTACACCATGCTGTCAGAGTCATTACCCTTCAGTCCTCCACCTCTAACTTAAGAAGTTGGAAGAATGTGTTAAGTAATATCTTTATTAGCCCCACCTTTGTTTGTGCCTTCACAAGCAGTAAAATCCTTGTTACTTAGTGTGGTCATTTTATGGAAAAAATAAAATAAAATCATTATAATTATTGCCCATAATTACAGTAAAGTTGTTAATACTCCTCAAGATGTAACTTTAGTTATGAGTGTTTACATATCTTTGCATGGTTTACACCAGGTTTTTTTATGGAGGAAACCTTTGCATTTAATCTGATTCTGCCTTTGTGTGACTGTTAATGACGAGGAAGACGAAGAGGAAGAGGAAGATGTACACGATTACATACACACACAAACAAACATAAACACCCATGTAGTCCTTATTAAATGTCTCCTCCCATCATAAACACAGTACTGTATATATTCAGCTATAAAGGAGGGGTGGGGCTGCACACTTCTTTAAGTCACTGGAGTCACCGCACCTGAGCATAAAGGTATGATTCTATTCAAAATTCAGTTTCTTTATTATAATGAAAAGGTATTGTACTGCCAATGGTTTTCCCACATTGCTTAAGACATTCAGATTTTTTTGTAAAACAAAATAATTCAAAATATTTGGCTTTTAAAAACATTTCTAAAATGAAGTAAAGATCACACCAAAAATAATTAAAATAAGTGTGTAATGAGCCCTATCTTTTATCAGATAGTGTATTTCTTGTAGTGAAAAGGAATCAGTACATACATTAAAAATGAGTTTCAAAAGGAGTATTATAGGTTTTCTTTTTTTTCCTAGTTAGTTTTCCAATTAAATCAACCACCCAACTATTTATACATTTAATATATGTAATATATTCATACTTTTTAATATTCTTTCTCGTTTATTTTGTTTTTATTTGACAAAAGATTGCAAACTGTTGCAAAGAAAGACAAAGCAGAAAGTGCAATGATACATTTGGTGGGGAGCGGCCCACCAGCACATTCTTCAAGTGTGTACTGAATATGTCTGTTTGCCTGTAAACTCCTCATGTCACATTCAGTACATTGAATAACTTGACTGGTCTTTAAATATTATTTTTTATGTTCTATAAAAAAACTGTTTTATTTTTTAAAGAATGAAAAGGACAAAGCTTCAAAAATCAGCACATGCTGTTTGATGTGTATTGGTTTTGAAAAAAAAAGGTTTTTCTTTTTTCTGTCTTTAATTAAAACGTTTTTTTAATGACAGTGTACTGTATTGAGACAAACCAATCTTCATTGATTAAATACTGATTTAAGTACCTGCCTTTGTACAGGACAGTGAGCTGTATCTTGAGATAAACTATTTTACATTGAATAACAGATCCTTGTGAGCCAAACCCTTTAATCTATTGTAAGGAAAGTCTATCCCTGAACATTTGTTTAGCCTGATTGTTTCCTGTAACCCTATATATATTTCTCCCTCTGGTTAGAGAGCATTCTACAGCATTGTTGTAAACCTCTGTCTCCACTGCCCAGTGAATAAAACTCATCTGAACCAGCAACACTAATACAAAAATCTCATATATGGCTTGTGCAGTATTTAAGTGAACTGATTCAAACGTGTCTCTAATATATCTAAAATTTGAACAGTAACCCATTGTCATTTCTATCATTTATCATTTAACTAATCTGATAACTGATCATTTTTCTCTCCCTGTAGATTGATCATGACTTTCGTCCTGGGCATAGCCCTGCTGGCCTTGGCCCTATCAGGGCCCACCGTAGCCTTTGTCCCCATTGGGGGTGGGGCATCCACTCATATCAGCATTACAGGAACGGCTCTATTGCAAAAAGTGACTGAAACATGTCGGGCAGTGGCTGAGGCAGCTGGTCATGAGTTCAATCCCACGGTAGGATGGAAGCTAAAAAATGTGCAAGACAGTACAAACGTACTAATCAGGAACGACCTGATAATAAATGAATAGTTAATAAGTACCCAGTGAGTATGAATGGAGGACTACATAATAGAAAACACTGATTTACAAGAGAACTGACTGGGTGATATTTTAATGAATTTCTAGATTGCGTCATAAGTATCTGTGAATCCACATAATGACCATAATCTTCATTAGTCGTTCCCGATGAACTCTGAAGCGGCTGCTGAGTGGCAGAAAGCTAATAAACAACTAATTACTTAATCATTAGTTACTCTTTTTTTGCCGCTTCAAGTAAAGTGAAACATCATTATGCGTAGCAACTAAGTATTCCCTTAATATTTAATGTGCTCAGCTGCACACAAAAGCTCCGACCTCCTACAAGATTTGTGTTATTTGTGAGAAGAGATGGTCTGAGCAGGTTTTAATACAAATGTTCCACAATAAAAACAAAATAACTAAACTATTAAATAGAGCATTAGTCTTGTTTTAACATATCCTTTGTGACAAACAGGGCTCCATTATTAAAGTACCAGTGTGAAGGATTTAGTGTAATCTTGTGGTGGAGTTGCAGATTGTGACCACCTGAATACAGCTCAGCCCCCCAAGCTTTTAGAAGACACTATGATGACTGTGAAACTCACAGAAAATGCAAAAAGATCCTATCTAGACCCAACGTGGCGGACTCTGTAGAAGAGGACCCACTTGTTTTAAGGTAACTAAACAACACGGTTGTTATTTTCAGGTGATTATACACAGATTAAAACATAGCTTTGAATACTATATCCAATTTTCCTCCTAAATGTTACACACTGGATCTTAAAGGCAAAAAGCTCTGCTCTTATTTAAATTGTGAACTTTACCACTCTTTACACATTTAATGCAACTGTAACCTCTAGCATTTGACCTCTGACAACAGGGTTCGTCTCCTGAAGAGCTGGTCCAGGCCTGTCTGGGACCCACAGCAACAGGAGAAGTGTCTGGTGCCAAGTTTCACTCCGCTCTTCAAGAAATCTACACCCAGAACGGACTGGTAGACCGTGACTTTGTCAACAGGTAAGAGAAGAGGTGGAAACAAACAAAAAGCAATACAATAATGGGACTTTTGTGTTGATGTGATTTAAATTTGATTTCCTTTCACACCTACCAAAATTCTCTCAGTGCTCCACACCACTTCAACTCAGAGGCCTTTCTGGAAGGACGTGGCCTAATCAGAGAGGGCATGGCGGCCATTAAAGCTAACATTGGTAAAGAGAACTTCCAGGCTGCCAGGGAAACACTGGGCAGAGTCCTTCACACACTACAGGTGAGATGGTCAGAATGACACAGCTCAGCATAGAGAGGTTAAAGGGCAAGGGGGGGAGGACTTGGAGTAACAAACAGGCATCTACTGAAGTAAAGAATGATAAGATTAGAGGAGGGGGAATGAGAGAGAAATAAGACTGAAAGGAGGAAAGTTTGCTTTATGGTGCGTATAATGACTGGATATGAAATCCTAACTCTGGCTATGTGTATGTATAAAAGTGTTAATGTGTGTGTTTCAATGCACTGCCAGGACTTCTACAGCCACAGTAACTGGGTGGAGCTGGGATACACAGAGCCATACATCAACCTCATACGCCCAGACCTTCCTCTGGAAAATCTGGCAGGTGTGTGTTATATTGTTGGCATACACATAGAAGGACTATAAACACATTTCTGTGGGTTGGGCAAAATGTCATAAAGTAGTCAATCATATAGCAGAGTGTGTTGTTTTGTCTTTGTGCTTTATGATTGGCTGGTGGGAGTGCATTATTTTCAGATAATCGTAACGCTCCAATATGGCACTCAAAAGTTGAAATGAAATTATATTTACTTACCTTGGTTCACAATTAAATGAGTCTTACTCATGGTGCGTTCTGTGTGCCTTTTTTGCTTGTGTAGATATCAACACTGCCACCTGCAGTGACTGTGCCAGTGGAAAATGCCCCAATCCCATCCTCCCCAACATCCTGAAGGAGAAGAAACTCACATCAGGCTACATGGGAATCTTCTCTGCAGCCAAGCCTAAAGGTATCAGTGACATATGAGTATGTTCAAACACATAGGGCCATATTCACTGGCAATGAATGGCACTTACTTTACTAAAGGAAACTCTGCACGTCGATAACAAACTTCATGATCCACGCTAAATAGCCATTTAAACCATGTCCCAGTTCAACCTGTCCTTTCTGTTCTGCACCAGGTAAATGCAGTCATGGAGGTGCAGCTGACCTGACTAGTGCAGCAGTTCCTCGTGGAGGCATAAGCAAAGATGAGCGCCGCTCCGACAACGTGGTGCTCCACAATGCTGCTGTGAATGCAGCCACAGCCGCCAGCCTGCAGCTGCTGGAGGACATCCGGTTAGCTGTCGGTGACAATGACTTTCTGAGGTATACCGTTCAGATATGATGTGAAATGATCTCAATCTCAATTTGATCTTGAATCTCAAAGATTTACTTTCTGATGAAAACAACCATTATATTGTCCAGACTGAGAAAAAGAGTAGACCTTTAATGCTTCACTCTCTCTTTCTTTCTCATAGAATGATGGGGATTGCCCGCTCCTCTGTCGTGTGCTTCGTTATTGATACCACTGGCAGTATGTCAGATGACATCAATGAAGCCAGAGCGGTTGTTTACGAAATCATTGACAGCAAAAAAGGAACGCAGGATGAGCCATCCGAGTACATTCTGGTGCCTTTCAATGACCCTGGTATGAACTATTCTACTTTACTGATCAGGTTTAGGAAACCATTAGTTTGTTTAGTTTTAATGATGGTTACATATAAGTGTATCATCTTATGTAAACTGTAAATCTGCATAGAGTCACAGTGATTCTATAGGATAAAAGGGTTTTAAAGAAACTTATATTTAGTCCAGAGTACTTTGAACCACAAGATAGTCCTGGCACTTAACCCATTTTCTGTGCTTTATATGTAGCGTTTGGACCTATGATCAGAACAACAGACCCTGATAAGATGAAAAGGGAAATCTCTAAGCTCACAGCATCAGGAGGTGGTGATATCCCTGAGATGTGCCTGTCAGGACTTCAGGTACTATACATTGTTAGATTGTAACTGTTGATTGGGGAATCAAAAATATTTTGGTGATCCAGAATGAACTGACTAGGCACATTATTTTATTCCTCCAGTTGGCTCTCACCGGTGCCCCTGCCTCTTCCCACATCTATGTTTTCACTGATGCTATAGCCAAAGACATCGACCTCAAGGACACTATTGTTGCTCTCATCAGGAGCTCCAAGTCAACGGTAAATACTGACTGACACCAATGATGACTTGTTCACACTGAATGTAACTTGAAAGGGTGTGTGGTATAATATCCACATTAAACAATATCTGTAGGTGTCATTCTTCATGACCGGGGCCAGTCGGAGGCGTCGTCGTTCCCTCCGAGCTCCTTCCTTTGAAGACTACAAGGACCTGGCTTTGGCCTCTGGAGGCCAGGCCATCCAGGTGTCTAAGAGTCAGTTACCTCAGGCCACAGATGTCATCCTTGACACGTCCACTTCAGCTCTGGTAAGACTGTGCAGTTCTAATATTACCTAATTGGAATAATATCACATTTAATATTATATTCTGTACTATCTGAAGCAAGTAACAGGCCTTTTGTGGTCAGACCAGTTTGGAAAATAGATATGTAAACCATCCATTTTTTCTCCCCTCCCCATCAGGTGACAGTCCTTCAGCGTGCAAGGAACCCTGGGAAGCAGGAAACCTTCCCCTTCGTATTGGATGAAACTCTAAAAAATATCACTATCTACATCACAGGAACATCCATTACTTTCACACTGACCAACCCTGCAGGTAAGACACCATTCCCACTGCAATGTTTGCACCGGTTTCAGACGATGTAAATGTTTGAGACTTCTCTTGCTGACAATGTCACTGTGACACATATTTATGACTAATGATGCATCTGACCAAATTCCAGGTGTGAGCCAGAACCACAATGAGGCCAGCGGTAAACTGGGGACCATACAGACAGTGGGCAACCTGAGGAGAATTCGTCTCAACGCTGACAAGCAGACAGGAACCTGGCAGATAAACATAAAGTCCAACCAAGCATACACACTTAAAGTCACAGGTCAGAAATTGTTGAAATTGTGTCTTTTTGTGTATACCAGTACATTTATAATATTCACAGATTTAATCAGAAGTTTGTAACTTAATTGCTTTCTTGTTGAGTGATGAATAGAAAACCAGAAAAGGAAAGAACTACTCAGTATCTATCCAGTAAATATAATGCTACAACTAGCAGCTAAGCTTAGCATAAAGACTGGTGGGCTGATTTTCTTAACTTATGAGGGAACCAGGCTAGCTGCCCCCGCCACCCACTTTCCGGTCTTTGTGCTATGCTAAGCTAAGCTGCTGGCTATTCATATTTTCGTTTTGTTTCGTTTCATATTTACTGGAAACTCATGAGAGTGCATTGATCTTCTGTAACTTTAGGCAAGAGGGCAAATTAATTTCCCAAAATTAGTTATTCTGAGTCAGTACTCACACTGACCCCTGTTAAGTTTGTTAAGTTTGTAACTATTTTTTAATCACTAGCATATTTCATGTTTATGTTTGGTTTCATGGAAACCATGTCAATTAATACTGCATCTATGTGTCAAAATAATTTGACACAAATTATTACACAGCTGTTGAACAAACACAATTCTGTCAGGAGAGGCCTCATGAAAGTTCTTCAAGTTCTTTCTTGGGAGTGTATCTGTATTTACTCTAAGTCTGTGGCTGTGTTTCCAGGCCAGAGTATCATTACCTTTATCTACAACTTCGTGGAAAGCTTCGGAGGACCTCACCCAGGTTACGCAGTACTCAGTGGGCGTCCACAAGAAGGTACAGTACACGCAATAAAGCAATCTTTGCAATGTGTTTTACAATGTAGGCACCTCGTAAATGTGTAATCATCAATCATCAATGTGAAAGTCCCATTACGTCAACTTTCTATAGGACCTCTGGGATATTTGCTATCAGGATTTATATTTATTAAATATAATTGACAATATTTCTAAGCATCCAAATTATTGTATTGTGAGTTATTGTGTGATGGCTAGGCATTAAAAAAAAAGTTACTAGTCACAGTGTAGTTAATTGGTGTGTATGTGTTGTCTAAGGCAGATGTTACAATGTGCAGCCTATGTGAAAGCATCATCTATAGGTGAAAAATAATTAAGTCACCAAAGCTAAGTGTCTTCTGCAAATGTTTGTAAGAAAAAGTAGAATAAAGACATTCCTCCATGAAAATTAATCTTCTTCCTATTCGTCCCCCTACCTTGCTTCTTTGTTTCTCTCTTCTGGAAACCCAGGCCAGCCGGCCACCCTGATGGTCTCAGTAATAGGTAGGAAAGGTCCGTCCTCGCTGGCTATTGGAGACGTTGGTCTGGTAACTGTATCTGGTCCTGAGACTAATAGCAATAGCACAACAAGTGACATGGGCAACGGAGACATCTTGGTGACTGTTGATGAAGTCCCTGGGGGAGAGTTTGTGGTCATTCTGAGAGGAACTGACAAACTGTCAAACACAGAATTTCAGAGGCAGTCTACCACCCAGATGTCCGTCTCCAAAGTGAATATTCAGGTTGGTCTCTTCACTTCCTCTTCACATCCTCTGTACCCATTCAGTTTTGTTGGATTTAAAGTAAGATCTGAGAATATTGACACTTTTGCAGAGTGCTTTGAACTTTCTAGAGGTGCAAGAACAATATAACTGTTCGTCACTTGTTTCGTTCCTTTCTGCTCTTCCATTTCCCTCTAGGCTGTGGTGGACAGCAGTGTGGAGCCAGGGAAAGCCTTCAAGCTCCCCTTCAGTGTCATGACCCAAGGCTCTGGTGGTAAATACTCCATTGGCGCCAGAAATGACAGAAACTTCCCCATGTCCTTCCCAAACAGGTGAGGAGAAACAGCTAAAACATTTCTTTTATTAAATATCCTTTAGTGGTCCAGCACATGAAGAGCAACATCCCTGCAAGCCTGGACCCTGACCAGTTTGCACAACCCACAAATGCATTTCCACTGGCCTCCACCAACTGGTGCACAAAAAAAACCCTACTGCTCAACATCATTCAATCATGGAGCTGATTGTTGATTTAAGGGAAAAAGGAGGCAAAGACACACACCCGTTTACATCAGTGGAGCTGTTCTGACCATCATGGTCCTCTCACATCTCACCCTGGTTAAGAAAGCACAGAAATGGATGTGTTTCCCAGTCCTTGTTAACTTTTAGGGATTCATTGGATGTGCATGGACCAGGAACTGCGGGGAAGATCATTGGTATGCATCTATCCAGCGTCAGTGATATTGGATAAAGTAAGGTGCCTGCATGGAACCCAAAAGATACTGAAAGACAATTTCCAGCCCTGCTGCCATCTGGCGTCCAACAATTTCTGTAACTTTTAAAATCGTTGATCCAACATTCACACCCACCTTTCTCTCACACCTTGATTGGCCAGTTGTGGGGAGGTGTGAAAGTAAGCTCGGTTTGAACTTTGAGCTTTCTTTTTTCGTTTGTTACACAACCATTTTTATCACTTTTCATGTGGACAACATAATGAATACCTTCCAGGAGGAACTGTCTGGAAATGTTATATTCATATTTAAACTATTTGACATCTCCCCTGTGGTGGAAATGAAATGCAAACAAACACTGATGGGTGGAAAATTAACAGAGAAGAACTCAGTTTTATAATTTTCCAACAAACAAAGGAATGAAATCCAATTGGTTCTCTGCCCAAAGTTAAACAACTTTCGGCCAATTGCCAGAAGCCATGTAGAAAACATGACCTGTTTATACGCTGCCGTAATCTGAACTAATGTACAATATTAAATGTGGAGCTTCTTTGCCAAGGAGCTCACAGAACATCAGGTTATACTCGTTTTTCAGTCTTTAACATCGACCTCAGATCAGACAGCACCGCATAATAGTTAATAAATGATTAAAGTAATGCTTCATGCTAACATGGTGCATAATTCCTGTTTAGCATCAGCATGTTAGCACTGTCACTTTGAGCATGCTGACATTAGCATTTAGCTCAAGGCATTGCTGTGCCCTGTACTCGTAATATTTCAATCAAAATGAAATGCATGGATTATTCACAATAACAGTTCCTATAATCACAAAGTGTATTTTTTTCTCTTCTCTTGACAGCCTCACCTTGACAGCTGGACAATATGCTAATGCTACTTTAACCATAACACCACCTGCCAACACGCCATCAGGCACTGATGTCACTCTGACGATAGAAGCCAAGTCGTCCAGTGGTGCCGACTCCAATTATGCCGTTTTGAGATTTTCGGTTGTTACCAAGGTAACAAGACACATCCTGGATTACAAAGTTGGAAAGAGTGAACTAAATAAGTACAGAAAACATAAAAATAGCATAGCTGGTATGCCACAAATATAGCTATTACAGATGAACTTCAAATACAGATGTAAATGACCCTGTTATTGCTGTGATTCATGCATACATTTCATCCTTTGTTCTCTGTCCAGATTACAGACTTTGTTCAGCCTTTGTGTGAAGTGGTTAGTGTGCTGGCTAATGATTGCCCTCAAGATGTGTCTCAGTGTGGACCTTTCCGATGGGAGCTCTCGGCCAACCTTACTGATGGAAACGGCACTGGAATAGAGACTATTTCCCTGCGTCAGGGCAATGGAACCCTCTTACACAGCTCCTTGAGTGATCCTGTTGTTTGGGCAAACTACACATCCTCCTGCTGCTCTCAGATTGTTGAGTTTATAGCTGTAGATAAAGTTGGCAATGTGGGAAAGTGTTATCAGTCCATTGTACGTTCTGCTGGCCCTCCTGCTTTAACCCTGTCGCTGCCACTGTGGTTGTGCCTGCTGGTATCTGCCTTTGTAGCAAGGGGTTGAAGGCCTTAAGGCTAAGTTGCTCAAATATCTTGCTTGAATAAAATGTGAGCACTGATGTGTACAAAGTTGCTAGAAATTAAATATTTATGATAAAAAAAAACCATTCAGCATGCACAGTTGGATATTTACTCTAATAACAGCTGTATGAAGAGTCTAAGTTGCGGTTTCAATTAAAGATTTCAAGCATTGGAATAAAGGCTTGTAGCCTACTTGTGTCATATCCTGAAAAACAAACCAACAAATTCATGTTTTCTGACAAAAAAGTGCTAAGTAGAGGGTTCATTTGACAACTTAACCTTTATTACCTGTTTTCTCAAATGACAGGACCAAGAAAATATACATCTTGATTTGACTGCAATCAAATCAATGTAAATTCAGAAAATGAACAATTTCTTATAGGAGGTTTAGAATTGTAAAATATGTCATCAAACAGTGAGGAAATAGAAAACACGCTTCACAACATTTAAACTGTGGTTTGTAATACAGTACAATGTGAGACACGATGATAAGAAAAGGTTGACCATCAGAGTTTTAACAATGCAGACAGAGTAACGTAAAACATGAACAGTTGTGGAACGCCGCGTTAAATGAAGCAAATATGTGTCTGCTAAAACTGAAATTATATTAACTCTCGTAAAAAGAGGTACACTTATAATGAGCTGCATGATGACTGTAAGGTTACATTCATTTGCTTTTTCGGGGTGAAGAAACAGACAGCAAAAGTATTCCAATGGTGGATAAGTCCAGTGTGAATGCACCGTTATAATCCTTGTTTGAGGAGGTAAATTATTGCACAAGCAGTATCATTAACACTTATTGCCATTTTTGTAACAGCAGTGAAAATCAAAGAAACATAAATAATCTTCCAAAACCACACTGTAACAGCATTCAACAGGTTTGCTTTTCAATTGTCTTGTGAAAACAATGACAATAATTTAGATTTTTTCAAATGATATCACAACAGCAAGAGATTTAAACATATCTGCTGATTATATTCTATAATTGTGCAGTACTTGTGACAAACCATCAAAATCGCTACACAGTTCTATGAAGCAGATGCCAACACAGAGGTTTCATGCACATCATAAAGGCTACTTGAGGTTGCTGATTATCCTTAGCACATCTTGTGGCTCTGTAATAGAACTTGTTTGAATAAACAAACAGTAGAAATAGGGCTAATTGCAAGAAACACGTTTTATCAATCTCCTTGTATTTAGAAGGAAAATGCTCATTTCCAACATGTATCATCACTTTCATAGCTGTGCGTTAAAGACGAAACTGACGACTGGTGAGATGACTAGTTTAGCTTAGCATAAAGACTGGGAGCATGGCAAAACAGCTAGCCTGACTCTACTCAAGGCTCAAAAATAGTTCCAAGAAGCTCTATAAGGTCTTCAACGGACCAGTATGTAGAATTCAGTGGAATCTAGTGGTGAAGTTACAGATTGCAACAATTTAAATACAGCTCAGCCTTCCAAGTGTGTAGGAGAAACTACAGTGTCCGCAAAACTAGCAAAAGGCCCCCTTCTAGAGCCAGTCTTTAGTTTGTCCATTCTGTGCTACAGTAGAAACATGGCGGGTTAACATGATGTAGAAGAGGACCAACTCCCTCTGTAGATAAAAACAGCTCATTCTGAGCTAACAACACCCACAACCATTCTTATATTAAGATGATTATACACTAATGAAAACAAACCTATGAATATTATATTTCAAATATGCCAATTAAGACTAGGTACTGAAGTCAGTACTTTTAAGGGTACCGTTCCATTACCATTTCTTGTTAAATCAATCAGTGCCCACTTTCGGTACCTTACAATCTGGGAAAGTTGGAGAGTAAGTTGGAGTAAAGAAAGAAAGAGAGTAATGTTGCGTCACTCCTGCAGCTTGTTCAAGTCACAGTGAGTCAGGGCACGCATACTTGATAATGCAAACAACAAAGCTTGCCAGAGCAGCACATCTAAGCTGTGGACAGTGTAACGTGTGTGATAGCACACTGATGCAGCTATCATTAGCATGCCTGCAGCCAGCGCCACAGGTAAAGCCTCCATAAAGGACGTCAGGCATTGACAACTTCATTGACATCTTCTAGACAGCTGGACAAGCTGTTTTTTTTTTTTTTACTATTGGTTGATGTTAGCTTAGCATTATTAGCCACAGCATTGCCAACTCACTGATCGTGAGAATAATTTTTTTTACAACTTAAAATACATCTGAGAGAGAAGAGAGAGTAAAATACCAAAAAAAGTACAGAATTCCAGATTCAAATGTGAATGGTACCAACCCTAATGTCAATAGATCCTCCTAAATGTTACATACTGAACCTTTATTATAATTATCACATAGTATCTCATTGGTTTATTTTCTTATGGTTTTAAACCAAACTTTACAGTTTCATCTTTACAATAAGATAATCGCTCTTTGCTCCAGCTCCATACGTCACACACAACATGACATTGATATTCATTTGTATTAGCTACAATTACAGCTAGACAGTACAATCGATTAATTCGAATGTATGTTTTAAAACAAAGCAAAAATGGGCTGAATTGTAAAATCGAAATATTAAGTATGAATATTAGAATGAGGGGACATAGAAGTGCTAAGGCTGTAAACAAGCCCCATTACACTCAAGTCTCATCTACACAGAACATGTAGAATCATTTCCCCATAGTATCCCATATGAGAGGAGGCCCCAGCAGGAATGTAAAGATATATTGCGAGACAGTTGAATCGCTACACAAATATGTACAGATTCAGATCAGTGAGATAAAAAATGAATTGTGATACTCTTTTTAAAACAGCAGAGGGCACTATCAACTTTTGACTTTGCTTGTTTTATGTCCTATGTCCCTTGTGTCAGTAGCTGTATCTAATTTGCATTATTCTGCAGTTTGCACCTTACCTAAGAAAAAAAACATTCTAGAAATATAATAAGGAAAATATGATATAAATTATATTTTGCCAGAGGAATGTGTTTCAGTAATGATTTGTCTTTAATCTCATTTTGTTAAAAAAAATGAAAATAAAAGATCATATCGCAAATAGTATCAAGGATTGTAACTAAGTGTGATCCTAACATCCCTAAGCCCCAGTGGTAAGACATTACAGCTACAGTGGTGTTTCACATCACTAAAGCTATGGTGTCTTTTGTTCGATTAAAATCATAAGTCAAATGTGGTGTGGGGAAAAAAATATCTGAGATTAGGCACATCTCTCTATGTACAGTGTTGAACTATTCATTCAAGCCTTAATAAAAATACAATGACATGATCAGCCTCTGTTCAACACAACATAAAAGAGATTGCAATTCTTAATTTTCATTTGCTTTATAGACAGTGCATCAAAGAAAAAACACACAAATCCCTTACGCACAAAATATTCCCCCCCTTACAAGACTTTAGATCTCTCATTTTAGAAAACGGTACCGCTCCCTTTAGAATAGGGTGGAACCTTGGATGTCCATCTCTCATTGGATTTTATGTACATTTTTCACATGCTTTTTAAGGTGACCTGACTGTGTGAAGTGCTTGGGGCAGTGTGGGCAAGAATGTGGTTTCTCCCCTGTGTGGATATACTTGTGCCTTTTCAGGTTATTGAAGTCTAAAAATCCCTTTCCGCAGTATGGACACCAGTGTCTCTTCTCCCCATTATGCCACCTTAAATGCACGTTTAGCTCTACCCTCCTTGCAAATTTTTTTTCACAAAGGTTGCAATGGAATGGTTTCTCTCCAGTGTGCATTCGTATGTGAGCTTCCACATCTAGTTTTGTGAAGAATCCCTTGTTGCAGATCTGACAGACGAAAGGTTTAATCCTGCGATGCACCATCTGGAGGTGTTTGGTGAGGCCAAATCCGTAGACAAAGCCCTTCCCGCACTGCTGGCAGACATGGATCCTACCATTGCGGTGCACCCGACCATGCCGTTTAAGACCTTTTGAATCTGGGAAGCGCTTCCCACAGAGAGTGCACGAGAAAGGTCGCCGACCTTTGTGGAGGCTAACATGGCTTTCTAGAGCAGCACTGCTGCTAAGGACACGGCCACACTCCCCACACTGGTTCTTGAGCAGACGCCTACCGATGACTGATAAAGGTTGTAATGGGGATACAACAGGTGGTGCTTTGACAGGTATGGGGTGGAGAGACACACTGGGGGGGTAAACTACTGTATGGTCCTGGGATCTTGTCTCTTTCTTTTCAGGTGAGTGCACTGACTTCTTTCCCCCTGCTGGGGGTGTTTTAGCGGCTGGCATTATAGGCGGAGTCCACACAGCTTTAGCCGTAAATTTTCTTCCGGCCTCACAGCTAGCACGGTTCTCTGCTAACTGGCTTGTTTTAGCTCCATTCTGCAAATTTAACTTCTGCGCATTCACCACGTTTAAAGTATGTCTAGGACTGGTAAAATCTTGAAGTAATCTGGGTTTTTTAACAGAAGTGGATTCTCGAGTCTTTCTAGGAGTGACATCATCTTTAGATAATGTAGGCCACCTTGCACTTGGGGAATCTGTTTCACTCTTTGTGTTTTTAGTACTAGCACCATCTGTATTTATGCTACACCTTCTAGGACCTAAAGCATTGGATTCCCTTTTTATCGGTTTAGTGCTAGAACCATCTTTAGTGAAGGTACACCTCCTACGGCAGACAGAAGTTGATTCATTGGTAGACATTTTAGGCCTAGAGCCAATTTTATTTGTCCTAGGACTAACAGATGTAGATTTAGTCATTTGAGGACCAACACCATCTTTACTTGAACTAGTCTTCTTAGTTGTCAGAGGGATGGTTATAGTATTGTTAGGGCTACTACCAATTTTTGGGCTTAGACCATCTTTAGTTGCACATGTCCTCCTAGGACGCACGGAAGTGTTTGTAGTCTTTTTAGGCGTAGCCCTGTGTTTAGTTAAACTAGGAGTGGATTTTATATTTTTGGAACTTATACCATGTCTACCTGAACTAGACCTAGTGGATTCACTAACAGCCTGAGACCTCTGATAACCGACGGATGATTCACTAACAGAGCTCTTCGGTTTAACACCATCTTTATATAGTCCAGATTTCCTATGACTAATGGGAGTAGGGTCATTAGTTATCTGTTTTAGAGATGTAACATCTTCAACTGGTTTAATAGTTGTGTTTTCATCATTTGAATAGTCAGTATCTAATCTAGGTTTCTTAGGGCTTACACTGCAGGTTTCTGTTTCTGTGTGTGGTTCTGGATTTGTTACAGTTCTTTTAGCTTGAAAATGGGTTTTGATGTGACTTCGGAGTTGGGCCATAAGGGAGTTTTTCTGTAATGTTTTCTTGTCACTGGTGCTGGTCTCTGCACAAGAAGCGCTGTCATCTACGGAGTCATTAGAGGAGGCCTAAAACAAAAAGGAAAGAAGAAAAATAAACTTTGCAACAAAAAAAAATACATGCAGAGAAATCACAAACAAATTATCTTAAGTATGAAAAAAAAAAAAATTTACATTTACAAAGCATAACTACTTATATGATCTACAAATGTGATGTTGAAACTCCAGAATCACCTAGTTTTAATATAACTTAAAATGGTGGTTCACCTAGCTTCTGGGGTGTGCACTTCTATTACAAAAGTGAGAGAAAAATAACACCATCGACCCTGTTGATTATTCTTCCGTCAAGTACCCACTACAGACTGCCTGAATAATGTAGTAACCAGTACAAATATTATTTGAATTGCCTGAATTACCTTTGTTGAGTCTTGTTCCACAGGTGACACTGCCAGCTGTGCCAGGAACTGGGCTTTAGTCATCTGTGAATGAGGGTCAGCTGTATCCTTGGATATGAGGGAGGTAAGATGTAAAAGGGCAGCTGATTTTTTCTCTTCTATAGGTCGGTCAATTGGTACCTCACAATCTTGCACAGCAATTCTGATCATTTCCTCGTCCAGATTAGAAGTAGGTTCACTAGCTGTGCCAGGTACAGCTGAAGGCTCTGTTGTGGTGATGGTTAATGTCGATTTCTCAAAGACTGGCTGCGACATCTTGAATGGTGTAGGTGGCTGCACATGTCCACCGTTAGGTGACTGCTCCAGAGTGGTGCAGTTTTCAGAGGATAATGATGCCTTCTTTTGAATATCATTTGGCTCTTCAGACTTGTCAGAGGTATGAACAGATACAGCAACAGACGTTTCTTTTAAACTGGGGCAAATGTCTGTGGATAACTTAAGTGTCTGTGATGTCTGTGATGATATGCCAAAAGATGACAATTTCTCTTTTGTGGAAGCTTCTTTCAAAATGGACTGAGGGTCAGAGTATCCATTTGTTTGCAGTCTTGAGACCAAGACTGATTTTTGGGTCAACACTGTATATGGGAGCCTGGTTAATCTGACCACAGCAGTGAGTTTCTGCTCAGAAGTTGGTGGTACTGCTGGTGACATGGAAGTTGGCAGTAGCTCAACTGACATATTTAAACTGGAACAGGTTACTGTATGAGCATTTGTTGTTTCAGAAATAGCATCAGGTTGTTTTGGAGATTCCAAGTTGTCTGATGTATTATGCCTCTTTTGAGACGATATTGTGGCCACTGCATCTAAAACAGTTTGTGTATCCACAGAAACTTTTAACTCCTGTGACAACGACACCGTGTCAAGAGCAGCTGATTTGGTTGACTCCTGATTTGGTGTCGGAACAATGGTCTGTGACTGATGTTTCCTTGATGCTACTGTTGTCGACTGTGAAGTGTCAACAGTAGGTGATTTGCTGGAGGTAACATCTATTGTTTTCTGAGGGACAGAGGAAAGGGAAGGTATTCCAAGAGGTAATCCAGCAGCTGTGGAGCCTGGAAGTCTACTATTATTTTGTGTAGCAACAACTGTCGGCACGACAGTAGGAGGCTGGGTTGAAGACTGTTCTGCAATTTTTAAAGACTTTAATGATGATGATCTTGGTACAACAATTATTTTATGAGGTATTGCATTACCCAATTTACTTGGTGCTGCTGTTGTCAGAGAATGGGGGTGGGGCGGCTGAAGGGACTGCATACTTGTTTCAGTTGCTGCAGTTGATGAGGGCACTGAAGACGTAGTATTGGATAGACAAACCGTATGGGCCTGAGTTTCAATGGTTGGAGTGGCATCTTTAGTCTGAGGTGGGTCAACATGTTTCTCTCTTAACTCTGTTATGGGTAGCTTGCCTATACCATCATGAGTTTCAGCAGGGAGCGGCAGTGTCTGTGGTTTGACTGGGACCTCTCCCACGTGGGGAGCACACTCAGTTCGGACTGGTGCTGTCATTTTTTGTGGAGAGGAGAATTTATTTTCTTCTATCGACTGGTTCATGGCTTCGACAAATAGCATTGCATCCTGAAGAGTTACAGGGGTGTGGTGTTCTCTGGGCTCAACTGATGCTTGTGTCGACTTAGATGGTGGAGTGTTTAGCGTTTCAACTGCGGAGGAGACTTCAGTGGATGGAGCTTGAATTGCCCCCTCTTCCATATCCATGGAACATTGCTGAGATTCAGATGCTACTGAAAGAGCCAGAGAACTGATGGATGAAGACTCCCTAGGCTGAACTGGACATGTTTGTGGAGACTCGGATGAAGGGGTATTAACTGTATCAACTGCAGAAGAGACCTCAACCTCTTCCACTCTTATTGTAGGGGATTTTTTCACTTCTTGCTCTGTTGTGATATCAGAAGATGGTGACTGAAGTATTTCTTTAACTAGCTGATATTTTTCTGTCTTCGGTGGCCGTCCTCTTCTACGTCGTACTGACATACTGAAGACAGGCTTGGAACAAGGCTCAATTTCTGACACGTCCTTTTTCAATTCATCACCTTCTTCTTCGTTGACTGATGTGGGTTGTGCCAACTGTTCCTGTGTATCTTGTACATCTGCATATTGTTTTAGAGAAATATCAGTTTGTTTATTTACCGACGTTTCACCCTCTCTTTGACATTGTTTGGGGACCACTAATGGTGATTCAACCTCTGAGTGATGCTGAGCAACCAACAGCTGGTGTTTTTCAGATGTTCTGAGTTCTCCCTGTATACCAATTTCTGATATCTTCTGACCGACTTCTTCTTCCAGGTCATCTTTTATTGCAGCGAGTGAGATGACAAATGTATGCCCTAGTTCAGATGACTGGCTCTGGTCTCCTTGTAAACCACTACACATTCCCAAAATTGGTAGTTCCAAGGCCATGCGTGTCTCTTCATGTCTTTGAGGAACGGCTATCTCTCTGGTTGAACAGACCTTGTCAATAAAAGGGCCTTCATTTTCAGTTCCACAAGAAGAGGCCCATGTTGAATCTAAGTGATAGAGACATCACAGAGAAACATAAGAAATAAAAAAGGTGATAATCGTGAGAAGTAACACTCGCCAAATGTTGTAGTCTTAAATATTACAAACTTTAGATGATCAAACTTTAGTCAGTTTCCTCACCTGCTTTATCACTCATGACATGCCCACAGACCACAGTGGACTCAACTTCCTCTTGCTTCAAGACAGCCTGCAGAGGAGAATCATCGTAAGAGTTATGCAGAGGCACTGCAAAACTTTCCATTTTGAGAAGACATAAATGGGAAAAGAAATTTGTTTGTTGCCAACATGCACACACCTCCTGCTTGACAAGTATAAATGTCATTTGAGAATTCCTTTCTCCCTGGCTCTCATAGTTGTGGTCCTGCAAAGCGTACTCCTTCTCCTCATAACCACATTGTTGCGCTTGGTTTTGTAATGATGATTCCCTCAGTGGTGGACATTGCTCAACCAGCATCATGCGGAGAGGAACAAGATCTGTTAACATAAACACACAAGAAACAGACATTTGTAAGAAAAAGTGGGGTTATAATGGCGAGCAGCCATTGTTTCCTGCTCCGGACGAGTCCTGCGCAGCTAATGAGAGCAGCTCAACTCACAGTACATCACCTCCTCTGGCTCTGACAAACTGTCATGGCGATGACCATAATGCCAAACTCAAGGTTTCAAAACGGAACTCCACAAACCAAATTTAGATTTTTTACAGATTACAGAGCACTGTACACAACTAATTAAAAACGGGTCAACTAACGGTTTAGTCAACTATTAGGGAGCAGCCCTAATCCAGGGATCTTGTTAATCGAATATTTTCTGTTAATCACTAAAATTTTTTCAACAACAGAAAAAAATGAAGGTTGTCTGTCATTTTGACTGATTAACACTGAGGGCAATCTACTGTGATATTAAGTAATTCACATGAAGACCACCTGTAGTAGACTACACTGTTCAACTCGTGGCCAGTGTTCATTTTAACAAGCTATTGTCTACTACTCTTGTCTTTGATTGCATTGGTAGGCTTTATTGCTGCATAGCATAGCTTTCACAAAATGCTGCAACAGATTGGCATCTGAGGTTTCTTTAGAAAGCCCAGTAATTGTAATGTGGTTGATAAGCAAGGAGGGAAAAAAGAGGGATTGATGTAGTGGAGGATGAAAGTCAAGGAAGTAATACTGATGACATGAAACATGCTCAAACATCCTTTCTGCATGTGTGATCATCAGTTGCACCAAAATGTTCTTTTCTGATACACTCATCTCAGTTTCTTTAACCACTGATAAAAGAACCAATCTGAGAAACACTCAAGCTTTAAATTATTTTCACAAGCGCCGCCCCCAATAGTTGACTTAATCCTTCATTGCTGAGAAGAGTGTTTGTAACTCAGCGCAGAACTCTTTCATAGAAAAACACTGAAACACAGGAGAGGCATAAAACAGAGGAAGAGGAGTGAGTTTGTAGCAAGTTAATTTGTAAATAACTTATGTATGTAATGTTATGGATCACCACTATCATTTGTTTTTGTTAAGTTGAAAGTTATTTACTCCCGGTTTTGAACGAGACGAGAAATGTTCAGTGTCCTCGCTGGTTGCGCCAACACATTCAGATTCATTATTTTTTCTGTCATCATTCAATAGGCAGCTGTTAAAATATATTTTTTTAAATAACTAAATTAATATCATAAACGTGCTACGACTAGTTGACTGTTTTATTTAAAGCCTACTAGTGGACTACGAAAATCTTTAGGCGGGGACAGCCCTAATTTGCATCATTTTCACTTGCATCAGTGCTCACACTGTCAAGCCCAGACACCATACGGTTGGCTTGCTCCCTCTCCTCATTCTTAAAAAGGACACAAATCAACGCAGTTTGTCATAATACGTACGTTAGTATCATAGATCTCAGTAGGTGGTCATGTAATTTGGCAAGCTAACTAACATTACTCAAGTAATATTTTGCTAGTGATAACTTTGGGGTACAGACAAGCAAAGGTTAGCCAGCCCTCTGCAACCTAGCCACTAACGTTATCCAGAGACAAGTAATCTGCTAATCTACCAGCCAGATCAACCACGGAGGTCAGGAGGAATTTGATGACCGTAACCAGTCATGTTACAGGACAGCCAATGCCAGATAACGTCATTCAGTGTGGCTGGTTAACCTTAACTTGGTTGCTTATGTTAACAATGAAAACAGGCTGGGTGTTGTTTAAAAATGTTCGCTACAATACCGGTTCCTGGTCCTGCTTTGTCAAGGAGAAGATACGCCGCCATTTTCATCCCAGCGGACGACGAGGTGAACAGACTCACTGGCTAGCTGCAGCACAAAGTTCACTTAGTTGTCTGTGCAGTTCAGCAGCTTGCGATAAAAAAAGCAAGCTCTGTCGCTGTGCATAACTGGACTGATGCTGATAACATTTACTGTGCTGGTATCGAAATTTGTAATGAATGAGACATTCGATGCCATTCAGTTGGTGCATTAAAATCATCGTTCTGTACACAGCCCTAGTTGGCTTGCGTTTGCTCACCAAATTACTTTGCTCGAAGTGATCCATGATACAAATGTATGTATTAGGACAAACAGTGTTGATTTTAGCTAGCAATTAATGATGTGACAGTACAATGCCATGGTGAACCGCTAGCGATTTCGCTATGTCAACTAGCTAGCAATTTGTCCGCATTAACAAGTGAGACAGGGTTGTGTGTCAGTTAACGAATGCTGCAACTTCTCAGGACTAAGAAAGGTCTCAATTTCCGTCACACTGTGAATGCAGCACAGCGTGCTTACGTTTGAAAACAGACAGCGTCGATTGTGTGAGACTTTTTCAAAGTTTCTGAAGAAGACAGATCGCTTGTTATTTGTAACAAATATTCCAAGTAAGTTCCACGAGGAGGTAAAAGTAGCACGAGCTTCAATACGTCAAACCTGATAAGTCACCTGACTCTCTAAAACAACTGAACCTCATTTACTTTAGTGAAAAGGTATTCATTTAAACGGAACCATAAGCCAAAATCATTTAAACTTAATTTTTTGTTACTATGGAATGCACTTTTTCAGTTTGTTTACACAGACAAGTGTAACTTGTGTCAGTGCATTATGCACATTTTATTTATTTTTATTGAGGAATGCACTTTTTCAGATTGTGTAGAAATGTTTGAATCTAACTTGTGTCAGTGCAATTTTCTATATATATTCATTTTTTTTAACTTCTAGAATACACTTTCAGTTTGTAATCCCAATGCATGCATTTGCATCAGTTCAAGGGGCCTTTATTTTTTTTGAGAGGCTTGACAATAGTTTTTCATTAGAAAAAATAAATCTCTCCATTTAAGGAGTCAAAAGTGTTTTTAGGTTTGTTCATAGTATTAATGTCATGATCTTAGGTATATAATATATATATGTATGTATGTGTGTGTGTGTGTGTGTTGTCAGTTATCGGGATCGGTTTTTAAAAAAAGTTAACGTGCATCCCTACCCTATTATATTTGCTAGAATTCTCACCTTTTATTATTTTTAGGCCCCTTCGACTGCATTTTTGCTCCCCTGAACATATATGAAAAGTCAATTTTATTTGGCAAAGTTGTCAGGCCTGGTGAAAATGGGATATTCTATGTGTCGCTTTCGGGTTGGCCACTAGGTGACGCTACCATCCAAAAAATGCGTTTAGGCTAATAACTTCTGCATAGTTTATATCCACGTGTTCAGTGAATGGAGCTGAATCTCCCCATATAGGCCACGCCCACTTCCGCCTAGACCTTTTTTTTTTTTTGCTAGTGCGCAAATGTCCATAAACTTTTTTTTTTGGTGTTCCTCCTATGTGCTTTGTCCAACTCGCACAAAATTTTTAACGTAGCATCTGGGGACCGTCCTGGCAAAAAAAAAGTCATTTGAAGAATGTTACGCACACTATAAAATTAGCACTTCCTGTTGATTTTTCATCAAAAAAGGAAGTGGACCATTTCTCCACATTGGTATGTCCGATTGACACCAAGTTTGGATCCATAGTTCCTCATGTCTTCCTTAAGCATCATGCACAATTTCAAGCCATCGCCACTAGGTGGCTCTCTTTAAAATGAAGAAGTTTATATCTCTGCAACGGCAAGTGTGATAAAACGAAACTTGGTACAATGATTCCCCATGGCTCCCTGAGGCTCATTAATAAATGTGTCAACAATCCACCACTAGGTGGCACTCTGGTGGCACGGTAATGGTGCTATCCATTTGTCTCGTAAATCCCCAGCCCGAGTTGCTCTGACGCAAGAATGTGGCGTAATTGCCTGGCTAGTACCACTTATAGCGTTCCAGTTGTCTTTGGGCATTACGAGTCGGAAAGAAGTGCAGCAGCTGTCTTGTTATTGCTTGTGGCTCTTCTAAACAAGCTCAATGTGAAATAATAATAATGTTTTTCTACAGAAACACTAACATTTCAAGTAATTCTGTTATTGCAAGTCTGACATTTCAATAAATGTCGTAACGTGCCCGTAACGACGTGTCAAATTCCGCCGATTCGCCATAAAACAGACTTCAGTGTATAACGTCCTATCTCCACTAAACTTCACATATTCTGTAACAGTCCCACCCTGAACACGTCCTCATAACTTCAGCGTACATGGTCCAATCTCAATGAAACTTCACATGTGATAAGAGTCCCGCCCTGAACACGACTACATGACAATATTCAGATATAATGATAACGCCACCTACTGGCAAAAGGAAGTAAGTGCTGCATGGCAACTTTGATCTGATTTACGTGAAGTTTTGAATGCCTAAGTCTTTTGCACAGTGTCTGAAACGCGTGACGAAGTAGAGCGGTCTTCCTTGGCTTCCGACGATGAGGGCTTGGGTGTGCGGCGACTGCCATGCAGGCCCTGACGTAGGTTGATGGCGAGGTCCCGCCCAACGCTGCTTTCAGCTTTAATTCTTTATTCTTTCTTTAATCCAACGTGAACCACAAACAATACCATTTGGTAGATGGTTTAAATGTGCAACCTATCTCCACAGCTTGTTGTGATACACTATGTTTGAATATAACGTCACTCCAGTGTGAACAGTCACGTTCATTTAGTAGTCAGTATACAGTATACACCGAGTATGCAGTGTGTAGTAGCTAGAGTACCTCTAGCGTCAGGCCAGGATAGCATTGTATGGTTTCCCTCGTTATAGAGAATGGGCAAAACCACGTGATGAGAAAAGACTAAGCTAGGCTAAGCTAACGTTACTGATACAGCAATAGACAGGTGTAATGTGTACCGCATGTAACGCGGCCACACAGCACAAACCACACATAGCATTATCAGACCGTTATATGGGTGAAGATTACTGAGCTTATGGCGGGTAACTCACCACACTGAACAGCTGTGTCGCGTTTCTTAGAGCCGTCGCTTCGCCCTCTAAGAGGATCACTTTCTCTGGTATCAACAGTCGGCTGGCTTCCCGCGCTCTCAAACTGGCTGCATCTTGTTTTGAGGTCCTCGTTCTCCTTCTTGATTTTGGATATTTCTGCCTTCAGCTCGTCGACCATAGTTTCGAAAAGTTTCGTGGTCTCTGCGACAGCACTCTTGAGCATGCTCTCCATGACAGAGGCGTACTTCGTCTGAAAATCGTCCGCTGACATTTTTATATGGTTTACCGTCCGTTCGGCTTTGAATCCAGTTTTCTCAGTGAATGTACTGTAACGTTAGAGTTATTAAATACAAGGAGCTAGCTCAACATGGCTTCTTCCCCGGACGCCGCGGGCTTCGCTTTGTGTGACGCACATCGACGAAGAGGAAGTCGAGCCTCATATCCGGTGGTCCAGTTAAATCCCAAACTTTATATATAACGTTATATTGTAATCAGTAAGGAAACAATAACCCGATAACTTTACGTGTGTGAGTTATTCATTATCACCAATACGTGGTACATCATTCTGGACCGGAAGGCGTCATTCTTTTTATACAGCTGAAACGATGAAGATTGTCCCAACTCACGACCTGTACTTTAAATCTCGGAAGTGCAGTTGTTTACGGAATCAGGAGGAAATGCGATAGCTCAACGGAAACAATTTGTAACGTTAGATTACAGCGAAGCAGTTGAATTACTCTTGCTACCAAATCCATCTTGCACTGACCATAAACTACATGCATGTAAAATATGGTAAATGTGTTTGTCCGATAATAGCCTATGACTTAGTGGTCGGACTGTGTACCGTTAACTCTGAATCAAAACTAGTGCTGCAAGCTAGTTAGCTAACGTTGGCATTACAAGCGACCTATTGTTTGTTTCACATTAAGTTTAGTGTGATGGACGTCAGCGAACAGTACATTTAAAACAACCAATACACGTCTACAACCTGCTCAACGTTACCTACACTGAAAACCGAGTTTAAGAAAGTGTCACAGCCAGTTTAAAGAGACCGTCGTTAGCTGTGGCTGACAAATGCCACTCTACTTCAAGAGCCAATTGAAAGTCGCCCTCTCGTCACTTTACTGAAAATCAAACTCCAGACCGTCCAGAGTTATCGCACGTTGTCGGCGTAATGGCCGAGGCTATAGTAACGTTTCAGTCCCAACTTTCTGGTGTCATGGAAACTGTCTTCAAAGCTGCCATGTATGAGATCACCCGGCTGGTGGAGGACAGTTTTTTGGAAGAGGTAACAAGGTGCAGGGAGCAGGTCGAGTCCCTGAAGAGGCGACTGAAGTGGTCAGAGAGCCGACGCAAAGAAAGAGAGGGGGACACGAGGGGGAGGTGTATGGACTGCGGAAGAGTCGGGGTGTCCAGTGAGGAAGAACCCAGAGCGACAGGTGAGTCTCTCTGCTGTAGCTCATGTATTATTAATTCCATGCAGGCCTGCTCCGTTGTGAATTACCATTGGATTAAGTCAACAAAGGTGCTCTGCAACAGCCCTAAAGCTGTCCCAGTCAGCCTTTCATAGTAATAATGAATCACATTTGTTGATTGATTTTGATTTTATGAGAATCAGAATCAGAATCAGAATTTGTTTATTGCCAAGTAGATTTTTATGCCTACGAGGAATGTGACCTGGTGCAGTTGGTGCATAAAAATATATACATATACAAATACAAATACACAAATATACAATTATTCAAATCACACAGAAATCACACAGAATTATATTCAAGTGTGTGGTATTATGCATAATGCGAAGGGGTCGCTCATAACGACAAACCCACAGATAATCACTGCAAAACACAGCATTTTACTTTCACGCTGTTCGCAGCTGTTCAGTGGAAAGGCTCAGATAAACCCACTGTATGCTACCTACCCAGCAGCAAACTGACAGACAGGTTAAGTTAGTGACAAGCTGGTGAACACATAGGAGAAGCTAGTAACTAAAGAGACAGACAGGAGCTGCACATAGTCCTCTGTGGGTTCATTACGACAAGTGACCCCTTTCACATAACATCTATTCAATTTGATCCATTGTTATTATAAGAACAGAAGTTATAGCAGCTAAGTATCTTAAAGTGAAAAAAGTAACATTTCCCCCTATCTTCTGCTGCAGAGAAAAGGCTTAAACAGGAGTGTGTGCTGCAAGAAGAGATAAATAGCTCCCAGGGCACCGACGGAGAGAAACCTAGTCATGAAGCGGAAGAGGCCCACAGTGCCATGAAGGCACCACAGGTAGAGGACATTTTATTACACTATTGTGCTTTATTTTTACAAATGAATTAGGTTTACATGTTTAAAATGTGTTTGTAAGCACAGTCAATGGTAAATCCATTATTGTACACTTCTCAGGAGTCAGGCAATCTCTGCAATATTTCAAGTATTTTTTATTTTTTTATTTTTGTGTAATGGTTCAGTGAGTGTTGATGTAATGCCAAGCTTATGGTTTCTCTTGTGGTGAGTAAAGTTACACTTGCTGTATTAATGGCGCCCTTCTGCTTGTGTGCCAGTCTCCAGGTGTACAGGGTGAAAAGCTTGATAGACTACTCAAGGAGGAAGCCCTTCGAATCACACCAGAAACAAATGAGTCCCAAGAGCGATGGGGAGTCAGTTTGGAGGGTCAGTCTCTTCAGTCAGAATTAGAAAAAACTATTGTTTCAAGGGAGTAGTATGCATATTAATATCTCACTAATTTTCATTTTCATGTAAGTATATAGCAATTTATACAGTACTTGTTTATTGAAAAGTTTTAAACCAGATGATGCACATTCTCGACCATGAACATTTGAGTGTTTATTTTGTAACTGTGTCATTGTAGTTCCTGTAACCATGTATTACTGCTTGAAAATATTTTCCTCTCATTGGTCAGAAACGGAGGCATCGGGTCTGCCGGGGCCCAGTAAGCGTTACAGTGAGCAGAAGACCCCAAAGTGCCATATGAACTGGGAAGTTGGCTTTGACCAGAGGCCCCAATCAGGCCAAGATGGACACTCAAGTGACCCATCTGAACCACTTTTCCAGAACAGGTATGGTATGGAGGACTTGGGTGGCTTTGACAAGACTGGCTATGGAGACGGCAGTATGATAGACATGGGTAACTTGGAGGATTTACAAGGGTCACCATCCCACCTGGGTGAGGATCTGAGTTACATGGGGCACTATGATGGGGATGTGGAAGCAGAAGGAGCCGAGCATCAAGCTTACCAAGCATGCGCCCCAAGGAATAGAAGGGGCACAGTCGGTTCACCTGCAGACTCACCCTCAAGGACTAACATTGATGTAAGTGGAGGGTTCAGCTGTTTATTGATCAATGAAGAAGGGTATCTACAGGACCCAAGTATCTTGTACCCTGAACATGTGTCTGGTGAATCAGGCAGCAAGTTGAGCCTCCGGGGCCAGGGTATTCGCATTGACCCATCTTTTGACAGCACAGAGCACATGTATGGGCCATCAAATGCATACAGTGGTACTTTAAACCTGGGTGAGAGGTTGCAGCATCAGGCAGCAGGAAGAGGAGGGAGAAGACACATCTGTAACCAGTGCTCCATGTCCTTTCCCGATTCTGCTTCACTAAAGGCCCACAAGCAGACACACAAGGGCACCGGACAGGTGCCGCCATACTCCTGCAACCAGTGCGGAAAGACCTTCACTCAAGCCTGTAACCTCAAAGTCCACCAGAGGATTCACTCGGGGCAGGGGCTTCACCTCTGTAGCCATTGCGGTAAAGGTTTCCCTTCTTTCTCTGACCTAAAGACACACAAGTGTGGCCAAACAGGTGACAAACCGTACTGCTGCACTGTGTGTGGAAACAAGTTCAGCCGTCTCTGGAATCTGAAGTTGCACCGGAGAATTCACACACAGGAAAAACCTCATCGCTGCACCATGTGTGACAAGAGCTTCACACGGGCGGACATATTGAAGGTTCACCAGCGTACCCACACAGGGGAAAGACCATACTGCTGCACTGTCTGTGGCCTCAGCTTCAAACGCCTGGATCATTTGAAATCACATCAACGCAAACACATGACAGATCTGTAAAACAAGGGAAGTTTTGGGAGCGTCAGAGAATTTAAAGGGGACCTATTATACTTTCCCTTATTTTCTCTCATATATATCATGTTATATAATGACAGATGTTCATATTAAACGGCCAAAGTATTAAATAATGAAAAAATCATATGTAAAAGTAATCCTTTTGAGCAAAAATGTTTCCAGCTGCTCTCCCTCAACTCTCTCTCTGATGGACAGACAGCTTTATTTGTTGCTAAAGTAGCGAACCACTAACTGCTGCTAAGTGTAACTGCTAGTTAGCTCAGTTAGTCATGCAGCTATCCGTCCTATTAAATGACTCTGCCTGATCAGAGCAATCAGTAAAGGAGCTCCCAGTCCGACCAATTAGCTAGTGGCACCCACAGTTAGCAGTTGTTAACAACTAAAGTAGCTGACCACTAATGACAGGTAAAGCTATCTGTCCACCAGGACACGCTGTTAATCACTAAAAGCTGAAACAGAGCAGCTGGAGGACATCAGAAGGAAAACCTGAAAATATGTTCTCCATATAATTGAATCCAGCTTCACCAAAATAAGTTATTAAAGTTAAAAAGTTGAGCATTTCTGTACAGTAATCAATGAGGCCTGGCCCCCAAGAAAGACTTTAATCAAATTCTCCTTTCCTGGCTAAATTACTGTGGCTGTCGTATATGCCGTCGAGCACACCAGCAAGCACTGGTTGCTCACCCTAGGTAGGCTACCGGAAGTTGGCCAATCAGAGGATAGTGGAACTTTAGGGAGGGGGACCTTGAAGAAACATGAGCTATAACAGTTTTTTTTTCAGACAGAGGATGAACTGAGGGGCCTGCCAGTATTAGACAAATTATGAGTTTTTGTGCTGTGCATTATGCAAATGTGCTCAAGTGCAATCCCAGAATAAAAATATATAGACTGGAAATTAGCATAACAGGTCCCCTTTAAGGTTGTTTGTTGTATTGGGATATTTAAAAATGAATGCTTCTATGTATGAGCCATGGATGCTTTTCACCAAAGTATTTTTTTTTTTCTTACTACTTTTCAACTCCAAATCCTTTTTATTCGAAAACTTTTTTTTTGGTAACATACATGTTTCTTGTGTTTGATAAGTCTACTCACATCCTTTTTTTTTTTGCATATTTTGTTACTGAAAAAATGACTCACATTAAGTAAAATGGAGAAAAGGCTAATAACGCTATTGTTGTCACTACAATACAGATGAAAAATAAATCAAATGATGTCTGTAAATGTTTTCTGTAAATGAAACAATTGAGGCCAAAGCCATGACTGTCCATGTCATTTTTATTTCATTAAATCAGTGAACACACTTAAAAATGCTTTTTTAACCTTTTTACTTTTCTTCTTGGAACAAACTTTACGGTGGCCGACAAAAGCAAAGCAAACGGCAAAACGCTGCAAACATGCGAATGATGCAAGTCCAAAAACACACATACACACAAAACAAATCCAACAGAAAAACGCAGCAACAGAAAAATGCTGCAATCACAGAAACGAAGCAGAAGCAAAAACTTACAAACCCACAAAACAAATGCCAAAGAAAAATGCTGCAAATACCAAAAACACACAAAACAACTCCAAGAGAGAAACGCTGCAAATTCGCTCGACAAAACGGAAGTGCGCCAGGCCGCTAGGGGGACCCAACCTGAGGGATGGACCAGTCCTGTGGGACCAGACCCTAAAGACATGAAGAAGAAGAAGAAGATAAGTTTTGGAGAGGACAGTAAAAAGGTAAATTTTCCTTTATGTCTTTTTTAAACACTTGGCTGTAATATTTTATAATATTATTATGAGTATAAAAATATAATATTCTATAATATAATTATAGTATTATAATATTCTTCTATAATATTAAATACTATAATTATAGTATTCTTATATAATATTCTATAATATTATAATATTCTTATGTAATATTAAATTATATTATATTATAATATTATAAAAGATTACAGCCAAGTGTTTAAAAAAGACATAAAGGAAAATTTACCTTTTTACTGTCCTCTCTAAAACTTAGCCAACTTTCTTCTTCTTCTTCTTCTTCTTCTTCTTCATGTCTTTTGGGTCTGGTCCCACAGGACTGGTCCATCCCTCAGGTCGGGTCCCCCTAGTGGCCTGTCGCACTTCCATTTGTCGAGCGAATTTGCAGCGTTTCTCTCTTGGAGTTGTTTTGTGGGTTTTGTGTGTTTTTGGTATTTGCAGCATTTTTCTTTGGCATTTGTTTTGTGGGTTTGTAAGTTTTTGCTTCTGCTTCGTTTCTGTGATTGCAGCATTTTTCTGTTGCTGCGTTTTTCTGTTGGATTTGTTTTATGTGTTTGTGTGTTTTTGGATTTGCATCATTCTCGTGTTTGCAGCGTTTTGCCGTTTGGTGCGCTGTTGCCCTTGTCTGCCACCGTAAAACTATAGTAGAAAATTACATTTTGGATTACCGAGGATTACATATTTTATATTCTTCAAGGAACCAACCTTTATTTTTCAACAAACTGTATTGCAGTACACACTGAAGGTGTGTATTTTCACAGGATTACATTCATGGTGATTTTTATGTCCATTATTGAATTAAAGTTTATAATTGAATTCATCTGTTAAGTGAATTCCATGTGGCAAAAGGCAAAATGAAAGGTACTAGACAATTCCTGTATTACAGAAATCCCCCAAATAAGAGCAACCATTGGTTATTTTAATGCCTTAAGCTTTGACTCTTATGTTAGCAAAGCACATGAGTCAAACAGTGTCCCAGTATTTTGTCATAGGGCAGGTATGAAATCATGATAGAGCATAAGCTTAAGATGAGAAGGACCAGATTTATTGTGCCACGTGAGAGGAGAGGCAGGGCGGCCAGCCCAGTGCTGAGCCCTGCTGACACATCAGGGTAGCATGATCAAGAGTTTGGAAGATATCAAGGGAAAGCTTTTTAGGGCTTTTTCACATTCCAGTGGTTTCTCTTTTTTAATACAGGGGTGGAATCAGAAACCCTCGTTTTGCTAGAAGAAGGATAGAAGGAGGAGGGAGTTAAGTTTGGATAGAAGTCAGGTGGGTCTAAAGGGTGTCCAAGAGGGATCTTCATATCTTATCAGCCCCCGTCTCAAAAAAAGATTAGATATCAAACCCTTTTTGCTGAAAGAGGAAGAGAGGGAGATAGAAAAAATAAAAGGAACATTTCTGTGGTTAGAAACATACTGGAATTCAGAGTGGTAAGAGTTTGATTAATCAATACACATAAAAGTAACCAGGGTGGTTTAAACAACATCCATTAAGGTGGCTTTAATAGTTGTTGTAAAGGGTTTCCTGTTTGAACAAACATAGAACCAGCTGGGGTCTATCTGCGTGGCATTTGTATGTTCATCCCACAGGTGTGTGAGTATTGTCTGGGTATTTCAGATAATATATAATATATAAAATGTATTTTCGTATTAGGGTTATGGCCTCATAGATGGAGTTTGTCCCTAGTCACTGTGCTGTGACTGTACACTGCTCCTTTACAGTTAGCAAAAAAAAATAATATATATATATTAATATAAAATATTATTATATTATTATTTTTGCGATAAAGACATTGAATAAATTTTTTCCAGGCACATTATCTGTCGACCAGTGGCCATTGTTGCTTACAAACTATGTAATAATTAAGCTAAAAGTATCTTATACATTTCCTAAAGGGATATAATAAAGTAAAAAGTTAACCATTTTTGATGTGGAAGCATAAAATAATTTTATAATCAAAAAGCTTGGTGGAACTGATGGAGAGTAACATTTGATGTCCATATGAATTGGCATGCTTTATCTTAAATGTATTAACGATAAGATAAAACGTAATGTCACTTCTTCCAGTACTGCACTGTAGAAGAGAGTGATCGTACCTGGCCACAATGTGTTCTGTCACAGCCTTCCTGTTTCTAACACTGAGCTACGGTGTGAACCGACCGCTTGGCGCAGCCCATGGGTTTCACTTTATGAAAACGCGTTTTGTTATTCACAGTTTCCAGGTGGGGCCACCGTACTACGTTGGGAAGTACGTCACAAACAAAAACAAGGACCACTAGCGATTGTTAGCTCGTGCACTAGTTTACTTATCTAAACAGTTGTTGCTCGTAGAAACCATAAACCCACGTGCGCACGGAGCAACGCGTCAGGCCCGACGATGGTTTACGTCACTCGTAGTTGCGTTCGATTTGTTAACGGTTTGACGCCGTGTCCGTTAGTTAGCATACATATGCTACCGTTAAGCTAAGGAGGAACGTTAGCTGGCTAGCTGACATGAGTCAAAGTCATGTCAGTAAATAGCTCGTTGGGTATCGTAAGTCCAACCTGTTATTATTGAACGAATATCTGTTTATTGTCTGAAGTATCCACAACAACAGGTGGACGTCTAGTTAAACACAGACTGCATTGTGATAATGGTGTTCAACCTGTGGTAGCGTTTTCAAAAATAAAAAAATAAAACAAACAACGCTACAGCGGAGTCACACGGTATTCCGTTGTGTAGCAGTTGTCAGACTCGGGACCCTGACGGTGTATCATGTCGGACCTAGACACCCTCATTGTCACTTTCCAGACCCAGCTCTCAGACGTGATGGAGACTGTGGTGAAGACAGCCATGTATGAGGTCACCCGGTTGGTGGAGGACGGCTTCTTGCAGGAGGTGAAGCGCAGGAACCAGGAGGTGGAGTCCCTGAGGATTCAGCTGCAATGGGCTGAGAGGAAGTTAAGTGACCAGGGGGGGAAAGAAGGAGGGAAGACCGGACAGTGTGTTGACTGTGCCAAGGATGATGTGGAACTGCCCGGTGACATAGCTGAACAGCAGGATGGTAAGAACAAACTTAACATATTTATTTAGGCCTAGAAACACTTAGTATTCTGTTATACTACTTCAATGTTCTTCTTTTAGGCATTTTGAGGGACTGTGGTGTGAAAATAGAGGTTGACTCTGTGGAGAGATGGACAAGAAGCAGACAGAAAGTACCAGAGGCAGCAGACAGTCCTACAGCCGCTCACAGCCCCGAATCACAGGTGGGTCACTTTGTTAGATCAGTGTTGGTCGGACAGGCTTTATGCACATCTGTTCTGACTGGAAGATTCAGCACAGAGCATCCGACTAACCAATCAAAATGAAAGCATATTCTGATGTGTTCTCCACGCCATTTAGGTAACAGAAGAAGATGACGTGTTGCCAGTGGTGGATGTAAAGGAAGAAGAAGTGAATAAGCCGTCTTGTTCTTCTGTGCGTTTAGGAGTGTGGAGTGGTACCCTTGATGGTGAGTATGGTGCTGTGTCACCTCGGTCCATTGGTTTCATTGCATATTAAGTTGGTATCTTATACGGGTGTAACAACACATAAACACAAATGTTTGTTTTTGTCGTCTGTCCATCTTCTGTGTGGATTACACGAAAAAAATTACTCTTATTTACTTTCTGATCTTTGAGTTTGGATCGGGACATCTGTAACTCATTCTATAAAAATAAAATAAGGGGACTTACCAACTCATCTGTTTGATATTAGTGTTAATTTAATTATTGACAAAGTCAAAAAAAAAAAAAATCCTGTGTTTTGAAAACAACCCTCTGTTATTGATTTTGCCTCAAAGATGACATTTTCTTCACTTACTATACTCCTGCTGTATTCAATACAGTGAAGTGCCATTGTCCTGCACACTTAGGATAAGTATATAGTACAGTATTACATTTACAATATAATTTGTATTATTTAGAAAGAGCAAATTTAGCCACATTTGGCTATTTTCTCAATAATGCGAAAGAAAAGTGATATGCAGTTCTGTCAGTTGCATAGAGAACGTCAAGAACATGTTCATTTCCCCCTGTAGCTTGTAGACCTTGGAATTCATTTACCACTGAGGCTTGTGGGTAGAAGGATTAATATCTTCTCATGCAGGCAGTTTTTCCAATTAGTTACACCAGTAAAACCTGGTCTTTAACATGAGCACTAAATACATGACGTCTCCTATCTTCTGTAATAAATAGCATTTGTTTATCAGTACATTGGCAGATTATGTCTTAGACCGAAACACTGAGCTGACAGCATTAGCTGTGGCAGCAACCAACTTGCTATTTTGTTAAATGTCTACCAATTGAAAAAGGCAGTTGAAGTCATTAATATATCTCCTGTTTCCATTCCTTTTCTTGGTGAAGCAGGACCTGAACCACACAGTGCTACTGAGATGACTGACACACAACCGAAACAAACTCCAGAGATGGGTGAGGAATTATTGAGGAACGTCATTAAGCCAGACCCACAGATCTCTCCTGCATATGTCTCTCCTGAAGAGCAGGAGGAAACGTGCACAGCCACAGATCCATTTTTAGAGGTGGAGAGTGGTTGGGCAGGCCTGGCTGTCACAACAGCTGGATTGCTACCGAATCACAGACATGCAACGGAAAAGGACTGTGATCCAGCCAAAACTAGAGGTTCTCTTCAGCAATCAGAGCGCGAGCTGGTCAACTCTATCACAGAGGATGCCCCAGGTAGAGCTCAGATTGCATCCACCACGCCCCCCATGGCAAGACTGCAAAACAGTGATACGTTGGGTGTGACTATCAAGCAGGAGGTCATTGTAGACTCTGATGTGTGTGTGGAAAGCGAGCATAAGGAAAAGAAAATGACAAAGTCCGGGATGGAATCTCTCTCGCGTTCAGTAAAACAGCACAGGTTGAGTTCAGGACCACTCAAGCACCTTTCCCATAAAGCCACTCTTCAGGAGGTTATGAAGCTGCAGTCCAAAGTGGGCACAGGTCTGAGATTGCAAGCTGCTTTACAGCACCTCCACCGACCGATGAAAAAGCCCCCCCATGCACTCTCGAGCAGTGCCACTACAGCTCTGTCTGTCGCTCACTCTCAGGTTGTGAACCTAAACCCCCTCAACAGAATTCCCTCCACATCTAAAGCCGCTCCTCCTCCTCCTCCAGCGCCCTCAGTCCAGCGAGCTCACCTGGGCGACAAACAAGCCGCAGCACATAACCGAACCGGTGCCCCGTGGGTCAGCATCAAAACCCAACTTCAGTCTGCAAACTCCCATCACAGCAACCCCTTACCCCATCCAGACTCTCACCCTCACGCTGGCCCCAGGAACCTCCTGCGCTGTGGCCAATGTGGGAAGTGCTTTCCCCACCCCAGCAACCTAAAGGCACACTTGCAGACTCACACAGGCGAGCGGCCGTTCTGCTGCTCCCTCTGCGGTCGTAGCTTCACCAAGCTGAGCAACCTCAAGGCCCACAGACGCGTCCACACGGGAGAGAGACCGTACTGCTGTTTGGCTTGTGGCAAACGCTTCACCCAGAAATGCAACCTGAAACGCCACCAGAGGATTCACCTGGATGTATAACGGTCAACAGCCAGTGAGAAAAAGTTTGGTGTGTGTTTATTTCTTTTAGGTCAGGATGCTACAGTGTTTCCTTTGCAATGTGAAGCAGTTGCTGTGATGCATTGCAAAAATGCTTCTTGTGTATGAGTCTCTTCAAGTAGTTGTTATTCTGTGCATTCCAGAAAGGTTAATCTAGTAACATACAAAGGTGTTGTAGTGTTATTGAAGGACAGAAAGCAGTGTGTTGTGAAATCACGCACAGAGAAAGGTCCGTTTTCAATTTTGATCAATAAATAATAATTTATTTTCTCAATGCGCAAATTCTTCTATTATATTGATTGCACCATGTCTGTAAGCACAAAAGCACTTACTGTATATTTGACCATGGATCAGGGCGGTATTTATCAACCTGCTCAAAAGGAAAATTTTGACTTGTGTGACAGATAAAAGTAACTCACACAGTTATTCACCAAATTACTTACGGCTTTACTTTTATTGAATTTAAGAGATCAGAGGAAGAGGTCTCTAAGTTGGTTAAGAGTAGACCTCAGATGGCTGCAGTACAGGAACCAGTGAGCACACACCTGCTTATGGTCATGATTTATAATGCACTAGTGAAGCATTATAATTCAGAATAGTGTAGTTTTAGCCTGTTGTTCACTTTTGATTCAAACATTTTCAAGGAAACCACTTTGTCTTTTTGGTTGTTGTTGTCTTGTTTTTTGTTTCCATTTGCACCCATTTCCTAATATTTATCCCTATTTATGTATTTATGTATTATAAATATATTAGAGTGTTGTTAATATGACATGATAATTGCTGCTATTTTTTTTAAGGATTAAAAAAATAAAAAAACATTCAAAAAAAAATTATAATTGCCTGTTATTTTTAAAGACTTAATGCAAATTTGCGTATATACTTCAAACAATGGCAAATGACAGTCTCCCTCATCTTTCTCCTCAATCTGTCTTTTCTTCTGTTTTAAGTATAAATCAGGCTTTAAATGTAATCAGGAGTAAGTAGGCTGATGAGTATTCACACTCTGTGAAGAAGTCCTTTACTCCTAATTAGGGCTGCACAATTAATCGAAATATTATAGAAGTCGCAAAATATGGCTCAGAGCTATATCCAAATCACAGAAGCTGCAATTTTTGAGAAAGATTTAATGTGTGACAAAACTGCATTCTAATGAAGTACTGTAGTTCTAAAGAGATGTCCTGGCCTCCAAATGTTGTTCTCAAGATTTGGGAAAACACGTTTGTTTGGTACAGAGACCAAAAAATGTCCCATCATCATGATGTTAATCAATTTTCCAGTAAAACTTTCATTTGTGATGCAAATGTTTTCATTCCCACACTAATCTTCAATCATATCACAATTTATATCAAAATAAATATCAAAATATGACGTTTTTACTATATCATGCAGCCGTACTCCTAAACTAGACTCTTTAGAGCGCTCTTTAAGTGTAATTCTCTTTGGTAAATGGATTATTCACCATATGCCACAAAACATATAACATTAATTATGCTTTTCCTCCAATTGAATGTCTGTGTGGTTCGTTTATTACTTGAGGATGCTTAGTTTCTGCTAAGACTGCAGTACTGAAATCCTAAAAATCTTTTGAAGAACTCACAGCACTTAGATGATGTATCAGGAGTGATGGCTAAATTTATACTCCTGACTGATGAAAATAATGGTTCATTAAGTACAGCTCTGTCACCAAATAGTGCCTCCAAGAACACCTCACTGTCAGGTTTTAGCAATATTGTAGTATCTGAATTGACCACATGGTGTCAGCCTTTCACCTAACTTTGTACAAATGTAACAGCAGAGATTTTCAGAAGATATTCGTCCTCTTGTCTGACTGCTAATGTATTAATGGAATAGAAGAGTACTCTTAAAGAAAACCATTCCATTAGAGTAACACATCACAATTACAAGTGTCTGTAGACACTGTTTTAGTCGATTTTTGTGCCCAAGCCTCTCTCTTCTTGTGTGTGTGTGTGTGTGTGTGTGTGTGTGTGTGTTACATATCTCATGTTCAGGATTAAGCCTGATGTGTTGTATCTGTAGTTAGAGTCAGAGCAGCACTGTGCAGGTGGTACAACTGATAACATTTTAATCTTATTTTCAAGGTGAGGTAAAAGCTAGCAGAGGCTAAACTCTCTCTCGCTTGCTCTGTCTGTGTGTTTGAGAGAGAGAGAGAGAGAGAGAGAGAGAGAACATGTGGATTAAAGCAATGCTTCTGTTCTAGATGGTATCTTTTCTTTTTGATGTTTGAACCCAATAACGAGAAGTTATCTATGAAGTGCAATTGAAATACCTACTTAGCTGAATGCGTACTGAATGCAGTGAGCATAATAGATAGGGGTGGCTGTGGGAGGGGATTGTAAAACCAGCCTGTTGGTTCTCAGTTGAATGTGTGGGAGTGCACAGAAACACACTCCTGTATGTTAGCCAACATATCTGTCTGTGTGTTTCAGACTGATGAGCTAACACATGAGTTACAGTATAAGCTCAAGTGGATCCTTTGTTTTTCCTCGAATTGGACCACTGGCGTAACCATTTCGTAAAACTTCAGTTAATAGCCCAGACTATTTGCCTCAATCACTGTTCCTCACCTGCTGTTATTTGGAACAGGCCTCTAACAGACCTGCCTTTATTTGTTAAAACGTATAGACACACCAGGCTAGTAAAGGAGACCAGCCAATAATTGGGACCCTGCTTTTAATTGAAGTTTAACTGTAATTACTTGACTTAACACAAGCACTCCTGTTTGTTCTCTTTTTAGCCTTTTCATTTGGTCACATTCCTTTATTCTTTGTACAGACTCACTTTCCAGTGCCACACTTTGATGACTATTAGGAGGAATAAGAGAATGTTTCTATGTAGAGGGTTGGTCTGTTTGCCTTTTCCTTTGGCATGATCTAAAAGCTACTTCTACTGCAACTGTTCAGTTGGATTTGAGTTGAAAAAAACATACTGTAAAAGATCATACAAAAAAGAGAGTTAACGGAGCCAGATAGTCATGGAACACTTAGAGATGTTGTTAAAAGCTTGTACAAATTGCACCAGGGCATGTAGCAAAGGAGACTAAAAGGAGACTAAAGGTTAACACCAACAGCAGCCATGACTCTTATTAAAGTATCCCTCAGCAAGATACTGAACCTTTACCTGCTATCTTAGTGTTACAATGCAAATAACAGGCTTCACTTCACAAACTGCAATACTCTCCCCCAGTATCTTAGGAATAATATACAGTATGTATGTATGGCAAACAAAATGGTGAACAAAATACAAGACTGTCCTCTCAAGAAAAATGACAGATTCAGGGTTTTTTTTGCCCCAAAAGCAACATGTGTTTATGTTGAAGTGACAAAGCTCTCCAGCGGCTATAGGAATTACTGTATGACGCATCAGGACGAGGTCAGGTGTGGATGGATCGGTCAACAAAACATCAGACTTTAACACAGTAGACATGCTTGTTTCCCATGTCTAACCCCATTTGGAAGGCACAAATGATGTCATCCTGCCAATAGGGGTGTCAGATCAGAAAATACATATATGTGTCACTTTAGAGGGCATGAACAAACAACGTATTCTGTTATTTAATTTGGAGAACATGTTGGAAAATAAAGATATCTATTTTCCAGCTGCTGGTCATTACAGCCATCAAATGAATGAACTGAGAACAGACAACTCGGGCCACCACATATCCACTGCATACGGCAAAACAAACGTCCACATGAAATATTTGATCCATTTGTTATTTAATAAAATGTACAAATATAAAATATGAAAAAATATGAGGTAAGAAAATAAAATACCCCAACCCTAATAATTTCTATACAGTCTAAATTACCTTAATGTATTACCTCCCCCCCATGCAAGAATCTCCACTGTATTCCTTCACAATCAAGACTTGTTTTGGCCTTGCGTTCTGATCACCCACTGTTTTTTAATATGTTCAAAATTGTAACGTGTGCAGCTCAGCACTGTCTAGTGGTTTTTAGCCACTGCGTTTCATTACAGAGACCGTTAACGTCTCCCTGAGCTGGGAGAGACAAAGGCAAATGAGAAAAAGGGCAGACAAGAAACAAAGCAGACAGAAGGTTTCAAAGAATAATTCCACTTTGAATGAGAAGACAAAGAATTACAGTTTCTTGATCATTTTCATCTCAAATTCCTGATATCACATGGAATTGTCACCCCCATTGCCCCGTTTCTTTAATTTACAAGGCAATCAGTGGTATTAGCAGTGCCTGACTGGACTTGGAAAATAATGTCTCTTCCTACTCGAATTGATAGCTATACTTTAAAAGAAACTTCTTCTTTTCTCTTCTGTGTCAAATCACTCCAATATTAAATTCAGTGCTTAACAGGCCACGGAGTGCACTGTGGAAGATTTATGCCAAGTGTTGCAAGGCTAGTGTGCCTTATTCATAACACCTTCATATTTCATAAAAGCAGCTCAGGCAAAAGAAATTGAACTTTGATGTGTTCCTCATTCTAACTTTTACTCCCATTTGTTGTAAGTCCACTAAATCCATTAAGAGGAGGTTTAAGTCCTTGAGCTTCACCTTCTTTTTATTGTGTATGAAAGAATAAGTGAAGGCAACACTGCTTTCCTTGTTTCTCCTAAGATACTATGAACAGAGACTGTATTCACAAACATTTAGAGAATACCCTCAGAGAGCGATTTTTCATAGACACGGTTGACTGTACGATGTTGTAATTGGTCACTCAAGAAAGTTTTGAGCACCCTTTGGTGATGTCAATTTAATCAATTTAAATCAATTTGACGTGAAGGTGCACATTTAGGCTAGAAAATAGAATTCTGGAGCCCTGCTAGTGGATCTATGAGGCTATACTGAAGTACAGCAGAGCTTTGAGCTAAATACTAAAGTCAGCATGCTAACATGCTGATGTTGCGCAGCTACAATGTTTACCAAGGTCACATCTTAGTTTAGCATGCTAAGATTTCCTAATTAACACAAGTTTAAGATTTGTGTCTATCTGGACAAAAGTGGACTAACCGACACTGCCATCCCTAGATGGGTGCCCAGATTGTTTGTGTATTTAGGATCTCTTAAAATAATACTATTTGCAATGTAGCATTGCAACATTGTTGGACTCACTATCAAAGTTCAAAAATTTGATTCAGCAGATTTTGCCGTTTTTATTGTACACATTCCTTCTCCATGTCAACTGCTGCCTAAATTATACACAATGCAACTCACCCACTGAAAGTCCATGGCTGAGTTATTGCTCAGCCAATTTTGTCTAGTGGCCACTCATGGTATTGCAACAGAAAATTTACTTATGACCTAAAAAGCGTTTTCTCCATAGACCAGCTTTATAAAAGAGACGTCTGTAAAAATATCAACAGGACACCTCAAACTAGAAAAAATACCAATTCTAACTCTTTCTGCTATGAAGTTTTGATCCATTGAGGGTTTATATTTGTAAAATCTTCTTCAAGCCGAGAAAAGCAATTTCAAAATCTGTGATGTCATCAGAATGTAAAGTCTATCTATGGGCTCAGCAGGAAATTGTGGGCGTGGCCAGCGGGAAAAGCACTACTGCACTTAGTTAGGGGGCCGCATTCCCAGAAAGTAAACCCGAAAATGTTTATGGCCATATTTGCATCTGGTATCCAGTTCTAAATAATAAATCCATGCATCTTCAGAAAGAGATGCTAGTGACTGCTAATGTAGCCTAACTGCCAGTGATGGGAATAACGGCGTTATAAATATCTTAATAACACCGTTACCGTTACTGCCAAAAAATGCGGCGCGTTACTATAATTGAAGCTGTTTTTTTCATCAGACCAACTAGATCTCTGAGCCGAGAGGCAAAGACTTTT